AAACTAAATGATGTCATGTGTAATACCATATTTATGAAACGAGTGAATGGCTTTCGCTCTTTAGATATCAAACCATTCACTTGTTTCATAACACGGTATTACACGGGACTTAGTTTAGTACTCTCTATGTATACAGGAAGGTACCCTCATTGCAAATGGGTATTCATGTTTCATGAATCTTTGGGAGATCAATCATCTTTATGAGTAATTCTTTAAGATGTGAGAATTACCATATGGCAATATACAGCTATATATTTCTGAGTGCCAAACTTCATATATCCTACTGCAAAGACACATTGGCTTTGCAACAGAACTTAAAAAGTAATGATCGAAATTTGATATTTAAATTTTTTACTCAATTCTTACATAGTAATCATGTTAAAATTCATTCTAAACTACCAGTATTTTAGTTTTTGAGCAGCAAATGAACATCAGTATTTTATAAATTGTTATCCCGGGTAGCAATGTTAAACTATTGATGATGCTATGGAGGATTGGAGGGTTATGATTCGCCACCTGCCTGATTGTATATCAGGTATGGTAAAAGTCATAGGATTGGAGGGTTACGATTCGCCACCTGCCTGATTGTATATCAGGTATGGTAAAAGTCAGACCCCATTGGGATGAGTCAGTGTTCATAAGCAGTGTTTAAGCAGACTGTATAAAATAAGCTTTCAGATACCATTGTTTTTGCTCGGCACCGACAGATATCGCTCATTTTGATAGAGAAAGTTGACATGATGGCCGCAAGCTTGATTGAATAAACAGTTACACATTGATACATGTGTTATTAGTTTGTATTTTCCTTCTAAAATAAATATGTAAAAAAAAAAAAAAATCCTACCTACCTACTCTAAATTTTAAGAGGTGTAATCGGAACCACAACATTTTTTTTATTTGGCCTTACCAGGAATAGAAATTAACCTTAGAAGCAATAGCATACAGCTTGATCTGAAGCCCAGAATGTTTGTAATTCTATCATCAGCCATTAGGATACCTTGCACATTAGTGATACTGCTGGGCTAGTGCAAATTTCTGTCTCTGCTTAAACTACTCCATGCGTGTAAACCATTTCATTACTTCATCTGATCCTTGAAATCAGTTCTGTGGGTTCACATGAGCGATGGTTTTGTAGGTCAAGGTAAAAGCCTGCTTTGTATGAATCAACTGAGTGTCATCAGGGTTTCCTTGTAGTGGTAGTTTTACATGTACAGTACTGCAGTGATGGTATGATAATGTTAACATGGTTACAACACAGTGTTCGAGACAGCATGAACTTTATGGGTGCCAGAACGCCTGTTGCTGTCCTACTGTTACAAACTGAAAATTAATGGGCCCTGGGCTCAAATACAATCCAGCAGCCTTCATGGACCTTGGATCTCCATAAACCTTGAGAACTCACTAGCTTACAGTATGTATGACACAGCAGGGTTTTACGCGACACAGAAATGTCGTCCAGTACGCACAAATGCACAGAATGGACGCAGAAAAAATGCGTATTGTCTCTCAAGGGATGCACAATAACATTCTTTGTAACAGATCCATGACCAGAAGTATAAGGTTCCTTCAACTGAAATTATTACTAAATCTGTGGTTTAGTCCATTAGACCATTTCATTATCTTACAGGATATATTTCCTGTAAAGACCCATGTAATTTGTATTTGGTGGTCGTCTGGACCCCTAGTTTTGTAGGGCAAGGTAAAACACCGGTATAGAGGTAGCAAGTCCTGGACTGAAACTCATTACTTCCTGCTGCAGCAGCTGTAAACATGTTGCAGATGATGACGGGATCCAGTTCAGAGTGTTAAGTCACAATGTCATGCTTTTTCAACAATATTTATATGTTGGGGCATATGCACTCACTTTAGCTTCCTATTGATGCAATAAAAGACTTATTATCCCTTATGACTTGCCCTGAAATCGATAATTGAAACTTTGAGGTGAACAGCTTCCAAACCGATATTCCTTGCCACATATGGAATGTAAACGATTGCTCTGTACCATTGAAAACTGTCGCATGCTGTGTTGTCAATGTTTGCTGAACTGGCCTCAATCACAAGTTGCGTAATGGGATATTCGTAAAGAGCGTTCCAAGGGACATAAGTCTGTGGAGTTCGCTTGAAATAAAGTTTGGTCAGTAGAGGGCCAGGGAGTCTATTTAATGCAACATTGCATTAATTCATTCGAACTTTTTAATTTCATACAGTAATGTTAATACGTAATGTTTTTTAGAATAAATTATATGGTAGCTTTGTTGGAGTCGGATAGTATTAATGAGAGAAATGCAATATTGATGTTTAGAGAAGTGTGGCATGATAGTGTGCCTTCAAGTCGCAGTGAGTGCAATCTGCATTTACTCTTGTCATTCACACCAAAGTGAATTAAGAAACTCATTTATCAAATATCAGGACTTATATGTGATTAACCAGTGATTGAGTGAACTGAAAATGTATTGACAGGGTTCGAAATACCCCATGTATTAGTGTGCCATGGCACGGTAAATATTGAAATGGCATGGTTAAAAATGTTCTCAGTGCCCTTATGGCATGCCTAATTTTTTGAAAACATAACTCACCTTTAGTCATTTAATCCCCGAAACAATTATTTTTTTCCAAATTGGATAATTCCATACACATTTGAATGCTCAGAAACCCATTTCTTTATTTAACAATAAATTTCAAATGATCATCATCATTGTCATTTATTCTCAAAACATGGACACACTTCATGTCTGAAAGGCACACCTAAGATATTTGTCTGGTGCCCTAAGGCACACTTAGAAAAAAAGGTATTTCTATCCCTGATTGATCACTATCAGTACTTGACAGACTTGTGTAGACAACGCTCCTCTGTCCTTGTGAATATGCTATTTCTAACCAACAAATTACGCTACATTCTTTTCCTAGCAAGAGGGATGCAATTAACATTGTCATTGGTAATGTATATGACATGGAGCACAGCCTTAAACCATCAGGGTGCCGTTGTACAAAACAACCTTGGCGCTAAGACTACCTTAAGCCTATATTAAGGTATGGGAGTTACGGTCTCCTTAACGCTAAGATCGCTATGTACAACGGCACCCAGCTCCAAACATTGCTTCTATGTCAGTAAATGGTAGCATTCACTAAAGGTTGCAGAGTAGAGTTCACATGAAGCACACTACCTAATTCATTGTCGCCATACAATAGATCTGCACACTTATATCAAGTTTGCTCGTAAATACCTGTAATTTACTCGTCAGGAAGGCCAATGTACAGGTAAAATTTTACACTTGTTTCAAAATATGAAATGTACCATATTTTCAAGTGTAGCCAGTTTATGGAATTGGTACATGTACAACTGAATGTAACCGCTGCCACATTTATATAACTGCATTTATTACCCTTAAGATAAATTTGTCGAATTCTGATTGGTTAATAGCCAAAGCATACAAAACCATTTTGGCAAATTTGCCAGGGTGTACGAACCGTACACCTCATCAAATCTGTCATGTGACACACTACACGGGTTGTATGAATGACCTTGACCTTGGTTTGGCTGCCGAATGGCTGATAGCTTGGAAATTTAGAGTTGGCGTATACAATTATGAGTATAAACAGAGTAATAAAATTGTTGCCATTAATTTCTTATTTGTTTGTGTCAATAACTACATCCAAAAAATAAAATGTTTCTGTATTTCACTTGTCGTTCAACAAAACCTCAAATTCGATCATTTTTATCATAAACTAAGCTATCATGAGTTATCTCCTTTATGACCGTTTTGCGTCTCATTCTGATGAAGGTTGAATGTTGTTGTTTAAAGATGAGTTAATTTAAAAGATCTTAAGGATAATAAATTCATCACACTAATAGTATTGAGGAGTGATGAAGGAACATGGTTTACAAATGTGAGACACTGGTGATATTATTCCATTAATGTTAGGACTAAGATCCTGTCTACTGCTGCACACGTGTTCCAGTGGTTTGGTTGAAATGAATATTGCATGGACTTGTAAGAAATGTGCATGATCTTTAGTTCCTGGTACATATGTGTCTTTTCCTGATAGTGTTTCATACCCATGATTTATGACATTCAGAATGGAAATAACTACATAGACTTCATCTTTATCTGGTTCCCCGTCGTGATATTGCTGGAATATTGCTAAGAGCAACGTAAAACTGAACTCACTCACTCACTCATCATTATCATGTTTAGTTTTAATATGTTAAAATGTTGTCATTTCCAGAACATTAGTTTCATCTTACAACTGGGCTCGATTTAGTGCTTTGTTACTTGCACTGGTGAAACCCAATATTACAAAGTGCAACCTAGTTATTAGTCCTACTTGCACTAGGTGCAAATTAATGTTTGAGAAATAAATCAACAATAAATCTAACATTATACAAGCAGCATATATCTATGTCAGCTCATTTTTCTTCTAAACTTTGAATAATTCAATAGCATATTTCTTTCTTTACATATTGCAAAAAAAGCAGTGCAAGTGGTATTTTAGACTAATGCTTAGTCTCTGAATATATATAGTTTTGATAGTAACAGGCAAACCTATATAAATTGAAAAGGAGCCCCAGGGAGACCAGAGATTCAGAACCTGAGGAAATCTAGACTTGCTTCGTTTAGGGCTTCAGCATTGCAGAAAGGGCTAGGCAGTAGGGAAAATAATGTGGTTAAGGGGACTGTGAGAGAGACTACTGGAATTTGGCTAGTGCAACTATGTTTTTATCTCAGGTTGCACCTGGTGCAAGGAGGTTAACATCTTTTAAATCGAGCCCTGTACAACTATTGCAATGAATATCAAATGGGAAGCACATGGTGGAGTTTAGTGGATTATCATCAAGGAGCAACCATGTTATAGACTAGTGCAGGGTGGTATTTATGGGCTAGCACTATGAAGATTCACCTCACGTCATAATTTATATCTACTGACATTCACCAGGACACAGAATGCTGATTCAGCATGATTCATCCTAAGCATGTTGATTATCCCTATTGTCATTACAGAAATTGTTCATGAAATATGACAAAGACAAGGATGGAGAAATTGACTTCTCTGAGTTTGTCGACTACGTTCGGGAACATGAACAACATCTCAAACTCTACTTCAAAAAGATTGACACAAATGAAGATGGTGAGATATATGTTTTTTCTGTACAGTCCGTTTGAGTTCATTTGAGACAGATGAATTGCTCACTAACACAAAATCTAATAATTACAACAAAACCAAATTCTGCACAGTCAGTGAAATAGACAGACGAACTCTGACGATTTGTCTCATAATTGTGGACACCTGAATAAAAAAGTTGTTTAACAAACAATCATTATTTTGTTGTCACTTTTCGCCATTTCTTACGAGGGAGGACCACTTGCTGGTAGAATAGTCAGGTGTGAGAGTTGTACGTGTGAAATTGAAATTTCACTGCACTCGCTTGTTGATTACCTGTCGATTTCATGTGACTGTGATTTTGGTTTTATTGTAATTTTTAGATTTTGTGTTAGTGAGCAATTCATTGGTCTCAAATGAAGTCAAACAGACTATAGTCTGTAAATGAGACATACTCATATTGAAATATAGACACTGAAATTGATTTTCCATTGGCGTGTTTTCTAACTTCTCTTGAGCATTTTCAATTGTTTCCTCTGCATATTTTTATCAAGGTCGCTAAGACAGTGCCTTAGGAAGTGAATGTAAAATAAAACCCATTTCACCTCACTTCGAGAATGTCAGAATCAAGTATTAGGGTGTCTTTTAACAGAAAAGACACATGGAAAACAAGATAAATCATATAAAGTTTGGGGTTTTTTCACCTCCAACTATATGATATAGTTTTGACTGGGCACAATACACGAAATAGCAGCTCTGTTATGTCCATGGAAAATACGATTTTACTTAACGACTTTACTTGGTCATCCATGGACCCCAAGACCCGCGTTATGGTGAGGGATGACAGTACTATCGTGTGTAATTGATTGTTAACGGGAATTTTTGCTCCCCAGCAAGATGAAGCTGAAGGAGAAAATATTTTTTCACAGTGATAATTTCTTCCTATATTCTTGTGTTATACAGGTACAATTGATACTTCTGAGATTCAGGAATCATTCCGCAAACTTGGTGTTCACATTGACAGAGCTGAAGCCAAGAAACTGCTCATGAGGTATGTTCTGACACTTAACATGAATTCTTGGTGATGTGAATCACTTGATCGTCTCGCCCGAATTAATTTATGTGCATCATATAGCTGGTATATTTCTGAGTGCAGTGTTAAACATCAGCAAAAATCTGTATTGAACTACCATAACTGACTTTCCATATGTTCTGCCAGAATGGACAAAGATGGAACTCTGAAAATTGACTGGAATGAATGGCGGGAGTTCCTGCTGCTGACGCCTGGCCAGAGTCTCAAAGACATCCTGCACTACTGGAGGCATTCATCGGTGGGTGCACACTCTAGCGGCAATGTTCAGGGCAGACTTGTTGCAATAGAGCTTTAGTTATTAGTTTCACTATGAATATGGCTGCACAAGCTACCCGTCATCTGAGGTGAAATAATTTGCTGTGCTGAGTTATCTCCCTTGGGTGCATCAGAAACTTTTATATGACACCATTTGGTCATTAAACTAAAGAAGATATTGCATCATTGGTCCAGCAGTGTGGGGGGTGTGTGTGTGGGTGTTTTTAACACACACACACCTTTTGAAAATAACTAAAGACCACATTGAAGTAATGTTTTGCAATGGCAGAGCCAAGGTTGGGTTCAGGGGTTCGAACACCCTGACAGACCCTACCCCACACACACACACACACACCCCTTTGAAAATTTCTGTATCCGCCTATGTCCAGTAATGAATGACCAACGATCCAACTTTAGTAGTTATGAGTGTTATTCTACTTAAAAGTACTCTTAATGAATCTCTCCAGTATAAATAATGCTTAAAATCCCTGTTAGTAATAAGTTATTAATGATGAAAAATAACGTCAGCTGTATGACTTGGTGAGAATGAGCTTGGTGCCTGATGACTTCACGGAGTAGGAACTGCAACAGGGATTTGGTGGCGCCAAGTGGCAGGAGGGCTGCAGGAGCTTGTCAAAAAACTGCTCCACTAGATAGGTTGAAGATTCTACTACAGGTGAGTAGGCCCAGATAAGCTGCCTATCCGGGTAATGTCAATGAGTGAGTTATTAATATGATGAAAATAACGTCACGCTGTATGACTGCAGATTATTGACATTGGTGAGAACAGCTTGGTGCCTGATGACTTCACGGAGAAGGAACTGCAGACAGGGATGTGGTGGCGCCACCTAGTGGCAGGAGGGGCTGCAGGAGCAGTGTCAAGGACAGCAACTGCTCCACTAGATAGGTTGAAGATTCTACTACAGGTGAGGCTATTGGTTTTTGTTGGTGGACCAGTTCAGTGACACTGCCTTCATTTTTTTCTGTTTATGGGTTTGACAGAAAAGATAAGAAAGCCACACTCACAATATATAAACAATAATATTTCTATTTGCTTAACTGCTTCATCTAGTTTAGTTTGTTTCTTTTATCATATCTGATAAAAAATATTTTGCTTGTATGTTAATAAACATCCATCCCATTGTAGCAGATTCAAAATTTGTACTCACCCAGTTAACTGACAGATACCATCAACTTTATGCCACACAAAACATAAAATATTGACTGAGACAAATGTATTTTTATTGTTTGTTTTGACCTAACCATGCTTCCCCCAAACTGATTATGGATCTGTTTTCCCACAATATCACAAATGTCATAATTTTATCACAAATCATATTTTGTCTTGGCTCATTCTTATTGGAAGGCGTATCATTAGAAAAGGGAAGTAACTCCTCTACTTTAGAGAGAAGGTGGAATCTGGGATTCTGGGTTAGAATTGATTCCCAGCAACATTTGCTAGTTATAAGAGCCAATGTATTTCAGACTTGGTGATATGGTTGATGCTTGAGCGTGGATAGTTCTTCCAATGTCAATCACTGAATTGTCTGGTCCAGATTTGATTATGTACAGAAAACGATCACATTGCTGGAACAGTCCCTAGTGATACATTAAACAACAATGGCTGGGGTTTTCTTGTACACTCCGACACCCTCCTTCTTGATTCCACCCCACGCCTCCCTCACAGGTATTGGGGGTGGGGGTGGGGTTTGGTGTGTGTGAGTGTGCGTGTGTGTGTGACCATTCAGTCTTGGACTTTGGTCGGTGCAGGAAGTCAGCCTCCACATCAATGTGCTAGAATTGAGTTGAGAGCAGTTCGAGAACTTTGTGGAGTTTGTTCGTGGCCGTGTGGTACGTCTAGAAATGGACAACCAGATGGCTATGACTTACATCCTGAAGCAAGGCGGCACAGTGTCTCTGTCGCTCTTTCAGGAGGCGTGGCAGTTTCTACTATGGTGCAACCAGTTCAACCAGGTGATGCCTGTTTATCTCCCGGGGCTAGACAACGTCCATGCAGATACTCTTTCACGGCGTATACTAGCCCCACACGAGTGGATGCTCGATCGGGGGATATTCGGGGTTATCTCCCAGTTGTTTGGGTCGTTCTAGGTGGATATGTTTGCCTCTGGGGTGATGAATCAGATACCAGTGTTTTGCTCTCCGGTATCCGGATCCGAGGGCATTAGCTAACGACGCCTTTCAGCTCGATTGGACAGAAGTCCTTTCGCACCTAGCCGCACAACCAGCTCGACTTCAATATGGGTATTTTTACCAAGACACAAAGTTCTGTGATGCACCAAGTGTTGGTTGATGTGTCATGTCTATCACAGCAATATGTTTGATGATCTCCAGGTTCACGGGTCTCGGAAAAACATCAGTATAAAGTCTGGCTTCCAACACATGTTGAAGGAAGGGGGATACATGTCTATGTGGAGGGGCAACGGCATCAACGTCATCAAGATAGCACCTGAATCAGCGCTCAAGTTCATGGCATATGAACAAGTAAGTCACAAATTACTCAGTGTCGGGCCGGTGGGGTACCCCAATGGTTAAAGCGTTCGCTTATCATGCCGAAGACCCGGGTTCGATTCCCCACATGGGTACAATGTGTGAAGCCCATTTCTGGTGTCCCCTGCCATGATATTGCTGGAATATTGCTAAAAGCGGCGTAAAACCATGCTCACTCACTCATTTACTCTTCTTGTCACTGCTATCGGTTCCCAATTGCGTAGATCGATGTTCATGCTGTTGATCACTGGATTGTCTGATCCATTATTTACAGACCGCTGCCATATAGCTGGAATATTGCCGAGTGCGGCGTAAATCTAAACTCTCTCACTCTAGCATTTGCAAAAGGTTAAGGACCCAGTGAAACCACATATTCTTATGCAGAAGTGCTTTACATTTCATAAGATGTATATTGTGGAATTTGCAATTGGAATTTAATGTCAGTGTTATTAAGGATTGAAACAACATTTTAAAATACAAACATACTGTGATGCTGCAATGGCAGGTGCTGTTGATTGTTTATTTCTTACCTGTTTACCTTTCATTTGTTTTGACAACAAACTAAATTGAAGGTAAACAAGCAATGAAAATGCAGCCAACTCTACGGTTGAAAGATGTTTTGATACTCCGTGACTTTGTTGTGATTTCCAGATCAAGACTTGGATCAAAGGGGATTCAAACCGTGATATATATATGATCGAGAGACTGCTGTCTGGATCTGCTGCTGGGGCTATCTCTCAAACCATCATCTACCCCATGGAGGTGAGACGACACACTTGTTTTACATGTCTTCCTGTGTCTGTCTAGCACAATGGTAATAGCATTTTCTCGTCACAACCAAGATGGTATCATTGCAGAGAATCAGTGTGTGAAAAAGTGTGGCTGACCTTTCAAGAGCACTGACTAGGTTTAATATATGACAATATATTTAATATCCCCCAGTGTTTTACATTGGTAGTCAAAGTAACAGAGCTTGCACTTGGCTAAACTACAGAGAGGTACAGTCTGTTTAGGTCAAAGTGTTACCGATGAATCACAATCTAACTCCAAATGATCAAACATCCATTTCAACTCTTGTGTCAAGCCAAAGTTGTGAATAATCCATGTTGGTTCCATTAAACAAATTATTCCACGATCATTTCCCATTACAGGTCCTGAAGACTCGCCTGGCTTTGAGGAAAACTGGACAGTACAGTGGTGTGTTTGACTGTACCATGAAGATCTTCAAACATGAAGGTGCCAAGGCCTTCTACAAGGGCTACATCCCTAACTTACTAGGAATCATACCATATGCTGGAATAGATCTTGCTATTTATGAGGTAAGACTTATGAATGCTGTATCCTTTAATACTTCAGGGATAAACACAGTAGTATCTGTGTGCAGGTTTTAAATCTTGTTGGTACATAGGGTTCACAGATTTATTTTTCCTAGGCTATGGGGTAGCCTAGTGGTTAAAGCATTCGCTGGTCACGCCAAAGACCCGTTTTCGATTCCCCACATGGTTACAATGTGTGAAGCTCATTTCTGGTGTCCCCGCTGTGATATTGCTGGAATACTGCTAAAAGCGGCGTAAAACTGAACTCACCCACTCATTATTTTTCCTAAGTGTGGGTGGGATATAGCCTGGATATAAGGGACATAACTCTATCCTCAAGGATGTCAGTCTCCTACTCATGTATGTTGTCAGTATGCATGAATCAATTTACTCCAAAACACCTTTGCCAGCAGCTTGTTCATAATAAAATATGTCTTTTCTTTTGTAATAACGTTTCTCCCACTAAACAAAATTCATATTTTCATGAATGATCGAGTCAAATTTTGACAAGAAACATAGATGTATGTTATATTTATTATGTATTTTCGTCCTTCTCAATCTCACAGTACGTGGGAGATGGCAGTGTGTTGACTTAAACTGTTTATATCTGCAGACATTGAAGAAGACATACAGTGTAAGGAATAAGGACAAAGACCCAGGCATCTTTGTGCTGCTGGCATGTGGAACTACCAGCAGTACTTGTGGCCAGCTTGCCAGCTACCCCCTGGCCCTGGTCAGGACAAGACTCCAGGCACAGGGTAATCTCAACTAAACATGACTCTGTGGTGTTTTGTGGGTTCTCCACGTTCAATTTTACCCATGAAGATCAAGGTTAGAATTGGTCGTCAGCAACCCACGCTTGTTGTAAAAGGCGACTACCGGGATCGGGTGATCAGGCTCGCTGACTTGATTGACACATGTCATTGTATCCCAGTTGTATAGATCGATGCTCATGCTTGTTGATCACTGGATTGTCTGGTCCAGACTCGATTATTTACAGACTGCCGCCACAGGGATGGAAATAACCCATTGTCCGACGCCCAAGTCCAGTGTTTTTTTTCTGTCGGGCTAGCAAATTTGTTTGCCACGTTGTACCGGTGTCCAGTTGACTTTCCAATGTTAATTATGTTGTTTATTTTTTAAAAATCAACAAGAAAATTGTCCAGTATAGTGGGAAAATTATCAGGGCAAGTGATTTTACATGTGCCACTGTACCAGAGTAAATTAGCAATTTTAAAGTTATTTCCACCCCTGCGCCATATAGCGGGAATATTGCTGAGTGTGGTGTAAACAGGGATGGCAATTTTCCGCTGATCCGCAGATTTCCGCGGATTTTATTTCAAATTGTTAATCATCTAATCAATTGAGAAACCCTCAACCAAATGACAGAATATTAAGTTTTCAGCTGAAAATAGATTTTCCTGTTGCCATCCCTGTGTAAAACTAAACTCACTCACTCACTCAGTTCCAGACAGAATCCAATAATTTGTGTATGACATAACTTTGCCAACAAGAACCTGAATTGTATTGTGGTATGACGAAGTTTTTTTGTATTGTGGTGTGACGAAGTATGTTTGCAAATTCATTGAATTAATCATTTTTTTGTATAACATGCTGAATTAACACCTGACTTGTAGATATTATGGCTGAAATAATGCCAGTATTTTGTTAAATTTGAACCCACTCACTCACGTATTCTATGCAATTCTGTTTCAGCTAAGGCAGATCTGAAGGGCAAGGTGCCAGATAACATGACAGGGTTGTTTAGGACTATTATACGTGAGGACGGCCCTCGTGGCTTGTATCGAGGCATCCTGCCCAACTTCATGAAGGTGGCGCCCGCTGTCAGCATCAGTTACGTAGTGTATGAACAAGTCCGCAAAGCTCTAGGCGTCACCATGACATAGGGAATGACCCAGCATCTGCAACATTACTCCAGGACGTCGTCGGTCTTTCTTTCTGCTCATAGTGTTGGACTTCATGTCCATAGTGTCCGACTCTTTGTATCCATAGGAATTCAAATACACCTCTACGCAACGCGGCACCTCTCTTTCTGCTTGTTACAAGTAGAATATGATGCTCTCCACCCACCAGGTATTCCTATGTCGGCTTGGTCAACCCAGTCAGGGTAAAAGATTTCAGATACGGCTTCAGGGATTCGTTTTTCAAAATGGTGTTTGTGTGTTTGTGTAAGTCTATTTCTGCTGTCTTTCAACTGCAGAGCATAGCGAAACTTCATCATGTGCCTGCATGGTGAATTTGATGTCACTTTTCAGTTGCATCATTCTCCCTGTATAGATATATTGTATTAATTCATTAATTTCGAGACTACTCAAAAGAATTTAAGGACACTGTTCGTTTTCATTCTTTCATGGCATGACAGATTAAATATGGTAAGATGAAAGAATCCTATCTTTTGAGTAGTATGAATTATAACAGTTGTCATATTGGGAGGAATATGTATGCCAGGTGTGTGAAAATGAAAATGCAGGATTTGCGTACAAATATTGCAAGGATTAACAGTGCATGTCTTACAGCTGGGTGTATATTGCTGCTGAGAGGGAGAACTAATGCTCTGGAGTGCTAAACCCTCACATCTGAGGGGCTGATACGTCCTCCACTTGTTATTGTTGACTATATTGTTATGTTTGGAGAAGGAATCCTAATGGTTGGATCTTTACCTACTGTGCACATGATATCTATCTGTGATCTATTTCCTTGAGTGTGATCTCAATCTGTGAGGCGTAAGCTTGTTGTCATCGTAAACAAAACCATTGACAAATGTTATCTCACACTATTGAACGGTGAACGCAATCGTCATGCTCACAAGTCAACTGATTTTCACAGATTTTATAGAGATGACATGGGTTGATCTCATGAAGCATCTAAGTTGGAGTGGGGGTAATGGGGTAGCCTAGTGGTAAAAGCTTTCGCACGTCACACCAAAGACACAGGTTTCGATTACCCACATGGGTACAATGCGTGAAGCCCATTTCTGGTGTCCCCTGCCATGATCTTGCCGGAATATTGCTAAATGCTGCTTAAATGTAAACTCACTCACTCCAAGTTGGAGGAAAATGTCACTTGTCCTCAGTTAACCTGTAACATGTTGACACCATCCTTACTACATTTGTTTGTGATTTCTTTTCTTTTTTTTCCCTTTTGAACAACATCACTTGATATTGTCATGCTGGACACTTAACTAAAGCTGACATTAATATATATGAAAAGATTATGATTCTTCAGTTTGTAAATAATTCTTCCTCCAATAAGAACACCAATTCTCTTTAAAAGAAATAATGATGCAAAAATATTAATGGTTTGGTGAAAACATTACCATATATGAAATGCAGTTGCTGATTTCATCCTAATTCACTGTGTAAATTATCACAAAAGGACCTAAGACTGGTATTGTTTCTATGACAACAAGTTTGTCTTCACATAACTGAATCAGTACCGGTTCAGATGTGTCTTATTTTCCAAAACAAAACTCATGCTGTGAACTAGATTAGGATGTTTGTCATGAATATGTGTAAAACAAGAACAAGTGTTGCTTCCATAAGTGATGTTTTGTGTCATCTGATGTTTAAAAGGATTTACATGAATATTGTTCCATATTTGACACTGTTGTAAAATTGATCGTTAACACCTCAGTCTGCTTCTGTGTGGGTACATTTTCATCCTTAGGTATCCATAGTGATGGTCGCAGTAGACTTATAGCAAAATAAATCATTCATTGTCAACAGATAACAAGTATTCAAGGACTTCATGCACAAATGTCCTCTTTATCACCAGTTAATATTGCCATTACACATTTGGTATAGGTGACTTTGCCATACACGAGTAGCCTGGTCAAGGCTTGATTTAGTGCTTTGTTACTTGCACTGGTGCAACCCAATATTACAAAGTGCAACATAGTTATTAATCTAAATTGCACCAAGTGCAAGTCAATTTTTTAGTGGGTAATCTTCTGAATAAAACATACAATAATTCAATAGCATTTTTCTTTCATTACATATTGCAATAAAAGCAGTGTAACTGGAATTTGGCTGGTGCAACTAGTTTTTTATCCCAGTGCAAGAAGGTGAACATCTCTTAAATCGAGCTCTGCTGGTTAGTGAACTGAAACATCAAAGGGGCTATGGGCTAGCCTAATGGTTAAGGCGTTCACTCGTCACGCCAATAACCCGAGTTCGATTCCCCACATGGGCACAATGTGTTAAGCCCATTTCTGGTGTTCCCTGCCGTGATATTGCTGGAATATTGCTAAAAGCGGCGTGAAACTAAACTCAGTCAGTCAGTCAGTCGATTCCCCACAGGTACAATGTCTAATGCCCATATCTGGTGTTCCTTGCCCTGATATTGCTGGAATATTGCCCAATGCGACGTAAAACTCACTCAAACATCAAAATTCTGTTTAGTGCCAACTGTTTAGATTGGGTGTGAACAAATCTACAGTGATAGGTTAAGTAATAGCGTACCTAACATAGCAAAATGTTCACATAATGTTACAATGAACACAAAGAAAATCTGGTGTTTTCACACATATCTCCTGTCATTAACTGTTCCCGATTCAAATACTCAAATGACATTCAGCTTATCAAACTGGATCTCTTCATGATCCCACTAGCACCTTCAACACAGGGTGTTCATACAGAATCGACTGGTGATGTATATTCATTGCCATGTTACTGTTTGAGAAAATGTACCCATTTTGTATATTTGCTGGAATTCTGTCATAATATGTACATTTCTTGATTGCCAACCAACTGTAAATATTTCACAAAGAGAAGCTACTTGTTCATTGAAGTTAAAGAGGAAATGGTGCATGTGCTATTATTAAAACTGACCTCGTGCTATCTTAAGTGTTTATACATTAAACATGCTAGTGCAATGGCTGCATTCAATGAAAGCTGTATATCTGTTCATATTGACGTTAATCTTTTATATATTTTCCGTCTAATGTTTGAAATGTCTCCTGTCTGACATATCTAACATGTCTATCGTCTTATGTTTAAAGTGTCTCTTGTCTAATGTCGAACATGTCTCTTGTTTCAAGTTTGATGTGTTTCCCATCTCATGTCACACATACTTCCAGTCTAATGTCTGACATCTCCCATCTGATGTGTCTGTGTTAGCATCTGCAGTGTTCAAAATTTAGCCTGAGCATCTTAATAAGGCAATGTAGATAACTGACTGTAAAAGTTCAGTTTCCACCTGTTATCCCATCCTTGTTCAGCAAGGCAAGGAAGATAACTGACTGTGAAAGTCCAAATTCTGCCTGTTATCCCATCCTTGTTCAGCAAGGCAAGGAAGATAACTGACTGTGAAAGTCCAAATTCTGCCTGTTATCCAATCCTTGTTCAGCAAGGCAAGGAAGATAACTGACTGTGAAAGTCCAAATTCTGCCTGTTATCCCATCCTTGTTCAGCAAGGCAAGGAAGATAACTGTGAAAGTCCAAATTCTGCCTGTTATCCCATCCTTGTTCAGCAAGGCAAGGAAGATAACTGACTGAAAGTCCAAATTCTGCCTGTTATCCAATCCTTGTTCAGCAAGGCAAGGAAGATAACTGACTGTGAAAGTCCAAATTCTGCCTGTTATCCAATCCTTGTTCAGCAAGGCAAGGAAGATAACTGACTGTGAAAGTCCAAATTATGCCTCTTATCCCATCCTTGTTTAGCAAGGCAAGGAAGATGATGTATTGCGAAAATCCAGCTTCTCCCCATTATCCCATTCTTGTACAACAAGGCAAGGAAGATAACTGACTGCGAAAGTCCAGTTTCCTGTTATCCCATCCTTGTTCAGCAAGGCAAGGAAGATAACTGACTGCGAAAGTCTGGTTTCCTGTTATCCCATCCTTGTACAACAAGGCAAGGAAGATAACTGACTGCAAAAGTCCAGTTTCCTATTATCCCATCCTTGTTCAGCAAGGCAAGGAAGATAACTGACTGCGAAAGTCCAGTTTCCTGTTATCCCATCCTTGTTCAGCAAGGCAAGGAAGATAACTTTGATTGTCTTTAATTGTCTGTAAGGTGTCATTTCCAGATAAGCAGGATCCGTACTGACAAGGGTTTTCACTGTACGTCTATCTATATGTGATCTGTATTCAATCTTTGCTTCTCAGCTAACCAAACTTCTCGCCGGTCAAACTTTGTAGTGTAATCTACCAGCAGAAGGATATCAATTGGGGGAAAATTGTTCATATGTTTGTGTATTATTGTCACTGAGAATAATGTACACCAATTCATACAGATTTTGAAAACACTAACCTACCCTGTTTACAGTGCACTGCTAAAATTGTCAATATACAAATGGTAGGTTATGTCAAACCATGAGGTCTGACCAATTCAGAGTTTTGTCTTCAATCAAACAGGTTTAAAGAAAATCAAGAAAATACCTTTAAATGTAATGCTGAAGTATAAGTCTGTACAAATGCATGTTTAATGAGTGAACTGTGGTACATTGCACAATGTTCCTATTAACTGCCAGCAAACTGTCCATCTGAATCTCATGTTCCACTTGCCACTTGTATGATTGCCTAATGGTGCTGTTGATGAGGGAGGATATTGTGTATGTTCATTGTAAAAGACTTTTTATAAATATATTAACACCAAGAATTAATTTTGTCTTGACTTGTCTGAAAAAATTAATTAAACATTTTTGAAAATGACAACAGATTTTGAAGGGTCGACTGATCCAGGAACTTGATATTAATGTATTTGGCAGCTGTTTGGATGAAGGCTTTAAGAGTTGACAAACTGATGACTTTTCAACAAGTTGCAATGAAAAGTAATTGCTCAGAACACGTTTCATATGGATTTTTTGTGTGTGAAATATCTACAAAATGTGAATGCAGTTGAAACCATCCTATTAAGCATCAACAACGTATGCTTATAAGGTAACAGTTCATCCCTATTCTAGAAGGCAGTCTTGATGATACAACTGTCAGATGTCTACATGAAAGTACTGACCTTAAAGGGGCGGTGGGGTAGCCTAGTGGTTAAAGCGTTCGCTTCACGCCAAAGACCCGGGTTCGATTCCCCGCATGGGTACAATGTGTGAAGCCCATTCTGGTGTCCCTAGCTGGATATTGCTGGAATATTGCCAAAAGCGGCGTAAAACTAGACTCACTCACTGACGTTACACTCATCCTGGTTCTATTTAAGACCACTTTGTGAAAGGCGATGGTGAAGATAACATGCATATTTTTAAAAAAGTATATATACTGTTACACCTTTCAAGTGATGGTGAAAATGTAACACTACTGCTATCCATCATAAGGGGGCGGTGGGATAGCCTAGTGGTTAAAGCGTTGGCTCGTCACGCAGTAGACCCGGGTTCGATTCCCCACATGGGCACACTATGTGAAGCCCATTTCTGGTGTACCCCGCCGTGATATTGCTGGAATATTGCTAAAAGCGGCGTAAAACCATACTCACTCACTCACTCACTCCATCATAAGTATCCTTTTTCTCCCTGTTGGAAGAATACTGTGTGAAACTGACGATTTGTTGGGTTGAATACAGTATCATTTTGTTTACATGACCGACGACAACACCAGAGTGCTCTCCATGTGGTCTTCACAGAACTTCAGGAAAGAAATGGTTTTTTGTTACAGTTTTACCTGATTATGTTAACTCAATGTTGATACTAATTTAAAAATATATTTTCATATATGTTATTCCTATACAGATGTTGTGAGATATACATGTAATCAACATCTGTGTCAAGTAATATTTTGACATGTTTGTCTCCATAGTAGGGGTGAAATGGTACGCTCTTTCCACAGTACGGTACGTATTGCGGTACAAGGCCTTCGGTTCGGTATATGAGAACTTACATCCGGGAAAATAGTGGCCCTTTTAGCAAAGCAATACATGCATTTTGACAAAGTGATTGGATTTGTTTCGATTTCTAGACATTTAAGAAAAAGTTTTAAAAGGTTAATAAAATAATGGTACAAAAACAAAAATACCGAATTGTTTATTACATTACAGTATACCGAACCGAAGGCAAAATACCGCGGTTCTACTAATACCGCGGTATACCGTTTCACCCCTACTCCATAGTTGCTAGTTTTATTACACAGATTCAGTTGAATTTGTCTCAGTTATACAAGTAGTGACTGCATTATCAAAGTGATGTACTACCCGTTCTATTTGTTCTGTACACTATGTGTAGTAATTATTATGTAGAAGGTAGATGTTTATTATCCATGTACTGCCAGGTCCGTGTGTAACATTCAGCATCATGTCAGTGTCGCTGTATATTCGTTTAGTTCACTGTTGTACTGTAATATCTTCTCACTAAAATATATTGCACAACAACACCTTGTTCTCTTGTATGAAAATATAAAATTTTATAGTTTTATAAATGCCAAATGTGTTCAGTTGTTCTTCCGGGTTTCTTCATCCAATCATGTTGCTGTTGTATCCTCATCATCATTACCCCACAAGTGTGTATACAAAAGGGACGGTGGGGTAGCCTAGTGGTAAAAGCGTTCGCTCGTCACGCCGAAGACCCGGTTTCGATTCCCCACATGGGCACAATGTGTTAAGCCCATTTCTGGTGCCCCCCGCCGTGATATTGCTGGAATATTGCTAAAAGCGGCGTAAAACTAAACTCAGTCAGTCAGTCAGTGTATACAAAACATGTTGTATCATTCAGTTATGATGGGGCAAGTGTGGGCCTGTCATCTTTAGGCAGCATAAATTTGGGGCGGTGGGGTAGCCTAGCGATTAAAGCGTTCGCTCGTCACTCTGAAGACTCTTCCACAAAACACTTAGAGAGGGGTACAGTCAAGACTACCAGTCCGCAGTCTAGACTACCAGTTGTCCAACTTCCATTTTTTGTGGAAGCCGCGGTGGCTGAGCGGTCTAGGCGATTAGGTGACCCACTCTGAGGGTGTGGGTTCGAATCCCGGATGGGACTCAACCCACCAAAAGTACTAGAATCTGTACTTGACTGAGAAAGTGTAATCCCAAATATAACATATGTTACATTTGACCAATTCTTTGATGGGCATTCTAGACGTTGGTGAATCAAAAATGAAACTTATAACAAAATGGATGACAATTTATTTATTGCATAGAGCGACGTTTCGGTGTAGATTCTTATCGTTACCAAGCTAAAAGTACTAGCTTTTTTTAACTTTTAGCTTGATAACGATGTAAGAATCTACATCGAAACGTAGATTCTTACATCGTTACCAAGCTAAAAGTACTAGCTTTTTTTTAACTTTTAGCTTGATAACGATGTAAGAATCTACATCGAAACGTGGATTCTTACAACGTTACCAAGCTAAAAGTACTAGCTTTTTTTTAACTTTTAGCTTGATAACGATGTAAGAATCTACATCGAAACGTCGCTCTATGCAATAAATAGAAGTTGTCATCCATAAAGTTGTATGTTTCGTACATTTGACCACTTTTTAAATGGCAGTGTGTATTTCCTATGTAGATCTTAACAATACAAGAGGTGACAACAGCAGTTTCTGGAGCAATGCTGTTAGTTGCCAACACCTAAGCAGTATTCAAACTATATGATGGATGAAAGTAAATAATTCGAGTCAGGGTCAGACTATCCAGAGATTAATACTGTTAGTAAACAAACAATCGGCAAAATCTTCGAAAAACCCGACCCATTTGGTTGCCACTTCCGACCTGCATTTGGTGATAGCTTCCAATTCCAACGCACAATTCCTGGGTGGCAAGGCATAATGTGCATTATTCTATTATCTACATCGGGTAGTAACTACTTTTAATGTTCGCTAATATCACTGGATGCAGTTGGTAAGGTGGACATATTATTCTATCTTATAATTAATTATAATTTAATCCATTAATATTGCACTAAATCCACAGAGACAGCATGCTCATAGCACAGATAGTTATTACCCCTGATAACTCAAGCGTGCTAGAAGGTTATAGTCACATGACTTCTCCCACCGGGTACCCATTTTCTGCTGGGTGAACAGAGGCAGTTTTGAACAAACTCACTTGCCTGAGGTGAGATCACACGTGCTTCTTCGTGGGGCAGGACTGAAGTACTAGAAACTCAGGAGTCAAGCTGTATTAAGCGACATGGTCCATCAGACATCCCCTGATCAACCTGAAGTCAAGACTGTAAGCAACGTACCTTTATATATACGCTCCCTAATTATACTTTCAGGGGCGAAGCTACCATTATAAGAAAAAGCCCGGGCTTACACGTGATTTGTGCTCAAAAGGTTGGGCAAGCCCTCAAAACTATTTGAAGATAAAACTTTGCAGCCTGTCGGTTTTACATGAAAAATTGGCTTGCTACGCCCCCGACTTTACAATGCAGTCAGTATTTCTAGTTTGTGTTTGGTCTATAACAGGATACTGCTAGGACAATGTTCAACAGAACGATCACCAAGACGATCTTAAATCCAATGTATAAGTAGGTAACAGGGAAACTGTTATCGAAAAGACTATAGTTCCAGTGACAAATTATCCAATCTCAGACATTTTTTTTATTTAACTAGTCTATGTATATAATATGTGCCCTTCTTTAGTAGTGTGTGTGTGTGTGTGTGTGTGTGTGTGTGTGTGTGTGTGTGTGTGTGTGTGTGTGTGTGTGTGTGTGTGTGACTACAGCAACCTTCTTCCATTGTCTGCCAATCGACTGTCTGTCAAATTGGTGTCTGTCAATTGGGAGATAACCGCAGCAGTGTGATTTTCTGTACATATTTTACACATATGCAGCATGTGAAGTGAGTGAGTGAGTGTGATTTCACTCCGCCTTTAACAATATTCCAGCAAGATCACGGCTGGTGACACCAGAAATGGGCTTCACGCATTGTACCCATGTGGGGAATCGAACCCGGGCCTTCGGCGTGATGAGCGAACGCTACAACCGCCCCACCGCCCCTCACATCACGGAAATGAAACCAAGTTCTAAAACAGTTCAACAGGTGAACATATAAACAACATTATTAGTTTAAGCAATGAAAAACATTTAATATAGCCGTCAGAACTTGCATATCATCTTCTAAAAACAGAATCACTGAAGTGATGATACTTCAAACATTTGAAAACACCTCACAAATTACAAGCAGCTTCTGAATAATATTCCCTTAGTGTTTGAAACCAGAAGCAGAACTATTTCTTTTTCAATGCACAACATAATCTTTTCCAGGACATGCAGTGAACCATTGTTTCATTGTAAGGAATATTTGGGCTTTTATTCGTCTCAATCGTATCCCATGTAACACTGAACAGAAGAATATTTTGCACGTTCGAAAACGGTAAAGCACAATTTAAACGGGAAAAGAGTTTCTGAAACAATTTGCAGATTATGGTGAAACATGAGTCCATGTAGTGTTATATTTGTTGAAAACATGTTACCAAATGATGAATCATGAGTTCTTCATACTGTCCTGCCCTTGGTATTTGTGTTTGCTAAAGAGACGGAGGCTGCATGATGTTAGCTTCCTGTCACAGGCCTTACAGATGGCGCATTTTGTCTGTTTTTGATCTCCTCTGTATGTAAATATGGTAATCAGCTGTTCTGAAAATATCTGAGTCATAAACGTAGAGCTGTAGGACCATTTGTCCGAAGCAAGGGACTATAGATCTTGTCGCAGCACAACGGGTGGCTGTTGCGAGTAACGTCCCTTTCAACGTCCATTACAGTACTTGTATTACAAAAACACGCCGCGCCTGGTCAAGACGCAGGTCTGATTCGTAACAGAAAGGGTTTTATCACCCGAAGTGTGTGACCTTTACTCGTGCACATTGATTAAAGACATGTTATTTGAAAATATCTGTCACTGCCCAGATGCCAATAAACCTACACGTTTTGCAACTGATGGAGTCGACCGAAATCTGCAGTGCTTTTGAAGACCCGGATGTCGATTTATTACACGATTTTGATTTGCCTATACACAGACACGAAAGCCCAGCCCAAACATCACTCAAAAATTCCAGGGAATTCGACAAAGGTGGAAACTAGAATAAAAATCATTTAGTTCCAACGGTTCGGGTAGAAGTGTTTGCGAGACATGTTCAGGAAGGTCTAAACACACTTTGACATCAGGCATCGCTATGTTGCAACACTTACTAATTAATAAGGTGTCAAGATCTCAAGATAATGTGGTAATCGTGCGTACTCTTCGTTTATAAGCCGTTAATACAATGTATGTAACCCTCTGACAAAGACTTACATCCTACACTATGATAGCTAAACGGGGTGCTAATATTTAGTGGCAGGCAAGACGTTGTAAGCCATGGACATTATGCTAAGGAGTCCAACGAAGAAACTAAGGGCTCGTGATGGTTGTGGCAGGGCGAAGAGATAGGCTATGGTGTGGAAGATCCGGGCACCTGTGAAAATGCGGAAGTGGAGGAGGGCGGAGCCGAGGCTTGGACCAGACGCTGTATACAGAAGACCAATCAGAACGAAGGGGATGACATTCTCAATGTCATTCTGGTGGCACCTGAAACACATGAAGTGAGCTGTGTTGCTGTAAATATATTGAAACTACAGTTGAATATTGCTATGCACGATAGTCTCTTAGTATATATCTAGTTTTACTGTAAACGACATTGAAATATTGCTTTGACGTCAATGAAATGTCGAAAAGAAACAAAATGGACTATATTTGTTCCTTCTTCACATCGAAGTTATTAAGGGGCGGTGGGGTAGCCTAATGGCTTAAGCGTTGGCTCGTCACGCCAAAGACCCGGGTTCGAATCCCCACATGGGCACAATGTGTGAAGCCCATTTCTGGTGTCCCCCGTCGTGATGTTGCTGGAATATTGCTAAAAGCGGCGTAAAACCAAACTCAGTCAGCCAGTCGAAGTTATTAAAAGCTTTCAGACGTTCGGTCAAAGCTCTTGGATAAATAGCAAATTCTTTGAACCAAACTTAACCCAAATCAGAACAAAGAGTAATAATTAATTGTTGCTGTGTTCTATCAAATACAGATAGACATCTGAAAGTCTTTTCTAAACAATTAGTTTATGATGACTGACCTTCTGCAGCACACATGCCCCTTTCAGGGCTCTCACTCACCACAGCCAGGGGTAACCCATGAAGATCCGGGTTAGAATTGGTCTTCAGCAACCCATGCTTGTAATAAGAGAAGACTAACGGGATCGGGTGGTCAGGCTCGCTGACTTGGTTGACACATGTCATCGTAGCCCAAGATCGATGCTCATGATATTGATCACTTGATTGTCTAGACCAGGCTCGATTATTTACAGATTGCCGCCATATAGGTGGAACATTGCTGAGTGCGGCGTTAAACAACAAACTACCAATCAAACCATCAGTCAGCTGTACCACAAGTAACGTGTGTCACTATAGAGTTGTAAGGCATTATACGATCTCAATGGCCTTCCACACCACAAGTTAAGAACATAGAAGAAAGATTTCACTCACCTGCGGATCCTCTCAATCGTTTCATTTGTCGCTACTTTCCCTTGTCCTCCGGCAATCCTGGTATCTTCAGGATTTATATAAATCTGAAACATGAAAACACCAACCACACATTATTCAACATGATTCATGAAACACTGACACAACAATGAGTGAGTGAGTGAGTTTAGTTTTACGCCGCACTCAGCAATATTCCAGCTATATGGCGGCGGTCTGTAAATGATCGAGTCCAAACAATCCAGTCATCAACAGCATGAGCATCGATCTGCGCAATTGGGAACCTATGACGTGCCAACCAAGTCAGCGAGTCTGACCACCCGATCCCGTTAGTCGGCTCTTACGACAAGCATGGGTTACTGAAGATCAATTCTAATCCGGACCTTCACGGGGCGTCTTACTGGCCCATGTTGCCCTAAAACTATAACACCAACCAGCCATCCGCGGGCACCATGGACAATATAGCATGTTTTAAGAGGGAGCGGGGGTCGGAAGGGCATGAAAAGGTCACACAAGAGTGAGTGAGTATGGTTTTACGCGTTTTTAGCAATATTCCAGCAATATCACAGCGGGGGACACTAGAAGAGGGTATCTCACATTGTACCCATGTGGGGAATCAAACACTGTCTTCAGCTTGACAAGCAGACGCTTTAACCATTAGGCTACACCACCGTCCCAGTTTACATAAGAAGCGGGATATCCAGGTGATCTAGGACAATATCTGACAAATATCTGTAACAGGGTGTACCAGCATCAAAAGACCTTATTAAAAAAAAACACATACTGTAACATACACCAACATATGCACACACACACACACACACACACACACACACACACACACAGAGAGAGAGAGACAGATTTATACACACACACGAGAGAGAGAGAGAGAGAGAGAGAGAGGAGAGAGAGAGATGTATACACACACACAACGAGAGAGAGAGAGAGAATTCAGGTTCGTTTAGACCAGTGAATTGATAACAGAGAGTATGATGCTCATGATGTTGATCACTGGATTGTCTGGTCCAGATTCGATTATTTACAGACCGCCGCCATATAGCTGAAATATTGCTGAGTGTGGCGTTAAACAGCAAACAAACCCCAAAAGACAGAATATGTTAATCTGCATTTTGTCAATTTTACGGTATAACGAAGAAATCATTGCGCAAATAGTCTTCAAGTACGCGACGCCTTTGTCTGACCTTGATCATGAGATCGCACACGCTGACATTTGTTTTAAATATGTCTGTATGTCTGTTGCTCTCCCCTATATAGTATCAACTATTTCTGTGAGACAGTTCATTAGCCTAAATTAAGCAAAATCTTCGGTGGTTGATTTCTTGGCCAAAGTTCGCACTTGTATCGTCATGGCTTATTGTGATTACCTCAGCAAAATCATCGCTATTGGCTTCATGACAAAATAAGGCACTTACCCTTTTGGTCAGTCTGTGAAATACAGTCAAGAAGGCCATAGATATGGTTTTCAAAACAACCACTATGGCATAGAACGCGAAGTAGGGGAAGACGGGATTGTCAAACACACCAGCCATTTTGGACGATTTCTCAATACTAAAACTTTAACACGCTTTGAACCCCGCGTGGGAGAGTCACGTGACTGCATTTTTTTCGCATTTGCAAACGAAAGATATGATCGGTTTAAATATAGCTGTCAATGTCATGCCTCTTCATGAAGGTCAAGACGGTAGAAATATAAGTGAATTACAAAACAAACATGGAGTTTAACCTCCAGGTTGTCGGATTATAATAAAATAAACGTGCCGCAACTCTCATCCAACACTGAAAACTTTGATCATGATCTCTGATTTATAAACATTCGAATTATAATAAATTATGATTATAATGACCTGATCTTTTGTGTGTTATTAGTGTAGTTCGTTATCATGTATATACCAGTTTCGAATAGAATATACATCAAGTACCAGAAACGAAAATATGTCATATCTGTGGCTTTGTTATAAGCGTTTAAACGTATACTGTATTGCTCGTATTGCCCTAAATATTTGTTTATGTGTTTGTCTGTTACTTATAGCCACACACACAAATATTTCTTCTTTAAAGTTGTTTGTTTCATTGTTTGCGGTTTAACACCACATTCAGCAATATTCCAGCTATATGGCGGCGGTCTGTAAATAATCGTGTCTGGACTTGACAATCCAGTGATTAACAGCATGAGCATTGATCCATGCAATTGGGATTCGATGTCAACCAAGTCAGCGAACCTGACCATCCGGTCCCGTTACTCGCCTCTAACGACAATCATGGGTTACTGAAGATCAGTTCTAACCCGGATCTTCGCGGGTAACAGCTGTCTGTATAAAATCGAGCCTGGGACAGACAAACCATGCAGTGATTCAAACAATCACCAGATTTTCACATAGTCGGGGTCCGATTGAGTGCAATCAAACAAGCCACTTTTCCTGAGAGCTCACGAGCATGGTTTACATGAGGTATATTCTCACACTGAACGGAGACCTTGTCACAAAACGTTTCTGGTTGGAGATACTGAATTTAAAAATTAAATAGTAGTATGCAGTGTGTTGTGCCTTCGGAGAGAGAAGAGTAAAGACACCGTTACTGAAGAAACTTTGAGACTATGGAGGACGACCGTCTATAGGCTAATCTTGTTGATGCACGTTTCCAGAATCTCGCAAGGATAATATGAGGAACCGTGCACCCATTGGGACCAGAGTCTTCCGTGTGACGTACAGGTTTGCCTATACCCCATTGTCCTCAATAAGCTTTGAAGAAACATTCTCAACGAACAATGTACATTCAAATCAAATAACAATAAAATTCTACCATGGGCCCTGAAGCCCCATGCTTGCCTCCTCGTAGAGATATAGAGTCAGAATAGGTGCACAACACCAATGCTTCTCCTATCGTGGAGAATGTGTCATCAGAACCCATGCTTGTCTCCTCATAGAGCCCGTAGAGATAAGAATAATCCTACTGGCCTGATGGCATATGGAATAATATTATGAAATTGATAGTGACCGATATTGCTAATACCCTTGCTAGCCTGGTCAACGGATTCCTTAAACAATAAACATTTCCTTCAAATGGATTTAGGTCTCAGTAATACACATTCACAAGGGATGAAATAAAAATGATTGCAGTAATGATTGGGCGGTAGCTCTGACAAGATGTTTGTGAAAGGTCCACGGAAACTGTGTATTCAAATGTGTTCTTATGATAAACCTTAGAGATGAAATATGTGGAATTACTGGTAACATTCTCATATAGATATGCTCATATCTTTTAAATGGATTACAGCATCTATGGGTTCAACGTCGGATACTAAACCAGGTAAACCGGTGTTCTGCAGGGTTCTGTCTTGGGGCCAATACTCTTGATAATATGTATCAACGACATTGTTGAAAGCATCCAAAGCGAAAACGCATCCTTTCGCAGAAGATACTACACTCTATGTACTGGTAAATCATCCAAAAGAATCAGTAGGTTGTCTCAAAATTCACTTCAAAGGATGAGCTGATTTATGACACTTAACATTTAAACCCGAGAAAAACTTAAACTATTCAATTCTTACTTAAATCCAGTCCCAGTAGAAAAGTATTGCTGATATTGTATTATCTGTATATTCTTCCCCTAATCATTTAAACAGAGCTAGTATGGCACACTCACACAGATTCCAATGACCAACTGTCTTTGCAGTTTCAAATGTCATTTATTGTATGACATGGAGAATCCAATTAGGAGATAAACATAATGTGTTAGGTAATTTCTGGGTGTTATTGAGTATTTGAAGCACGGGAATTCAATTGGAACCGAAGGCATTAGCTGGAATGGAATTAGCTCAAATGAAATAATCCCGTGCTTAATACCCAATAACAAATACTCAATAACACCCGGAATTTGGCCAACACATCATGTTTATCGACATTGTAAGCACAAAAGTAAACCGAAATTCCACACAGGTTTGTGTGTCTGCACTCATTGACATCGAGTACGGGTACAACAGTCAAATGTCATCAGCCGGCCGTTTCGGTTGTCTCCCATGGTAACACCTGGAACTCCTCATTTGTGACGTCATTCGGACATTACGTCACAATATGATTTGAATGACGTCACTACTGCTGACGACGTATCAATACAATGATGTGTGCGATGTTTGTACGTATTTTAAAATAAGCAGCGAATGGTCTTCAAACACCATTCGATCATGTTTTTCAAGCAATCAGATTAAAGACAGTGACTTTTGGTTTATAAATGAGAATTCTAGTAGATCCCTATCACTAATATATATATATCCCTCCTTGTGGAGGTTCTGGCCCCGGAATCATGAAAAATTCTTAAGTCTAAAATTTGCTGAGCACAAAAAAATCTTAAGTCTAAAAAAATTTGCTTAGCTAAGATTTTAGATAAGACTGGATCATGAAACTCTCTCAGCAAAATCTTAGCTAAGACCAAGACTAGGACAGTTACCATGGCAATTTTAGAAAGATGTAATCATGTCCGGTCACTCTTAATTAATTGAGGAGAATAGTTTAGTAGCAGGCACCTTCAATGCAGAAATGTTCCAAACAAGTCAACTGACGCTTTTATCCCTGCCAGTAATGTGATATGTTTATACGAAATTGTCAAAGTTTCTGTGCAGCGTGACGCCATGACTGACGGAACAACAACGGTAATGATCGGCATATCTGGCTTCTTCTCTTACTTACAATAATAACGATAAATATATAAGAATACACAGATAGTCAGATTCATTCTGATTACTTACATCACACATTCATGTACAAACGATTCCAGAATCAAGTGAAAGGTTCTCGCAAAATTATGTGTACCCATGTCAGCGAAGCCGCCATTTTGTAAGAAATCGGTCAAACGATAGTGATGTCATAAACGTTAGCATTGTTGTTACATATTTGGCAATTTCTATGAGGTGAAGGTCGGTTGAATAAGAGTAAACACAATCGGCATGTCCCACCGATTACACTTTCAGTGTTATAATAATATATATTTTGTATCATTATCTATATTTAGCCTTGCCGTGGATAAAGGATAAACGGTTTTTATTCTTTCAAGGGTTTTGTTTGTTTGAATAATATTTACATAGAAAATTGACATACAGAGTGTAGTAGACCATATTTTAAACCCTTAAACAAGTAGGCGATTTAACTTGCATGACCCCGGGGCCAGGTGTTGTGAAATATTCTTTTTAATTTACGTCAGATTGATGCCAAACAGGTGCGCGTGTTGTTCATATTAAGATACACAGTCAAACCGTTTCACAATTTATAAGAAAAGATGACAATGTACTACATGAGATAGCACGTAATGCGATTTGGATGGCCCTATGTAATATGTAAATTAGTTCTTTGATTCACAAATTCTCTTGTTTGTGTAGATGTATTTTGACTGATTTTGCATCATTATTAACCGAGTACCAGTCATATCTTCAAATGTAATGAAATTACTGAAAAGATTACAACATTGTAGTTGACGTCAAATATTGCTTGTTTTATGTATTTTGCGACGTCGGAAAAAAGACGACATTGGTATGCTGATTAGTATATATTTCACCTAATGTCCATGAATTGTATAAAAGATTTCGGTTTCTATGTCAGAATTTAACACTCTTTCGACAGAACTAACAATGACTGATTGTACCATTTAAATAATGTCCTGCATAGATCCGGTTTGACTGTACATGTGTATCTTAATATGAACAACACGCGCACCTGTTTGGCATCAAATTAACGTAAATGAAAAGGAATATTTCGCAACATCTGAATATATATTTTAGGATAAGACTATTCTTTGTTTATGGCTATGTGGCTATTTCTCTTCATAAGTATACAATGAAAGATGCAAAAACATAGCTCTTTTTGTATGGAACTATCAGAATAAGGATGTAAGTTTTGTCCAATGTAAGACATGACATGGTCTATATTTTGCTTACAATTTTCGTAGAAATATAGTTACAATTTGATATCCTGTCATTGCAATATTCTTTAACCAATATGATATAGAACAAGGCTAAATGTAGATAATGAAATTAGTTTCATATAAAAATGTCTGAATGATGCACAAAATATACATTATAACACTGAAAGTGTAATCGTTGGGACATGGCGATTGTGTTTACTCTTGTTCAACCGACCTTCACCTCAAAGAAATTGTCAAATATGTACTTGTAACCATGTTGACGTATGACATCAGTACCGTTGACCGCGCTTACAAAATGGCGGCTTCGCTGACAAGGGTACACAGGATTTTTCGAGGATGTTTCCCTTGATTCGGGGATCGTCTGTGACATAAATGTGTGATGTAAGTAATCAGAATTAATCTGACAATCTTTGTATTGTTATATGTTATATGTCATTTGTTTCAAGTAAGAGAAGAAGACAGATATGCCGATAGTTACCGTTGTCGTTCTGCGAGATTTTCCGGCAGTCATGGCGTCACGCTGCACAGAAACTTTGACAATTTCGTATAAACATATCAAATAACTGTATTGTACCTACTAGTATTTTTAATTTGCTATTTCTTGCTACGATAATATTTCCATGTATGTTCTTAAAGTATTGAGCCTATGCATACTACGAAAGGCGAATGGGTGTCTGAGAAAATGTTAGATGTACACAGTGTGAAGTCTTTGTTTACATTTCAACAAGCGCTGTCTTTCGCGCACAGTGTTCGTTTTCATGCCCAATATCCTTCGCTTCACACTTGGTTTTAGTGACAAAGACCATTTCTTATTTGGTAATAAAATGTATGAGGAATTCAGTGATGCATTTGTCGCAGCTGAATATGAAATATACGTGTAATAGGCGTCTCAATACCAGCCTTCACGAAACGTGATTTTGTAAACACCGTCCAATGCAATATGGCAGAGAGTGCACTTATGCGTTCGTGTTAGTGTATTTTCGAAAACATCCTAACCGTAGAGACACTATTAAAGAAAATAAAAGCGTCAGTTGACTTGTTTGGAACATTTCAGCAGGTGCCTAGCTGCTACTATATACTATTATCCTCAAGAGTGACCGGACATGATTACATCTTTCTAAACTTGCCACTTGTCTTAGTCTTAGTCTTAGCTAAGATTTTGCTGAGACAGTTTCATGACCCAGTCTTTTCTAAAATCTTAGCTAAGTCTGTGCAGCGTGACGCTGGTTGATCGACAGAACAACAACGAAGGATCGAAATATCTGGCTTCTTCTCTTACTTACAATAATAACGATAAAACATATAAGAATACACACAGATAGTCAGATTCATTCTGATTACTTAAGCATCACACATTCATGCGTACAAACGATTCTGTAGAATCAAGTGAAAGGTTCTCGCAAAATTATGTACCCATGTCAGCGAAGCGCCATTTTGTAAGAAATCGGTCAAACGATAGTGATGTCATAAATGTTAGTATTGTTGTTACATATTTGGCAATTTCTATGAGGTGAAGCTATCTATTGAATCATAGTAAAACACAATCGGCATGTCTCACTGATTATACACTTTCAGTGCTGCAATAAGAGTATACTTTGTATTATTATCTATATGCAGCCTTGCCGTGGATAAAGGATAAACGGTTTTTATTATTCTTTCAAGGGTTTTGTATTTGTTTGAATAATATTTACATAGAAAACTGACACGGCTGGTGAGTGTAGTGAGACCATTTCTTAACCCTTTAAACAAGTAGGCGATTTAACTTGCACATGACCCCGGGCCAGGTGTTGTGGAAATATTCTTTATAATGTCAGATTGATGCCAAACAGTGTGCGCGTGTTGTTCATATACACAGACACAGTCAAACCAGTTTCACAATTTATATAAGAAAAGACGACAATGTACTACATGAGACAGCACGCACCGCGATTTGGATGGTCCTCATGTATTATTATGTAAATTAGTTCTTGATTCACAAATTCTCTTTGTTTGTGTAGATGTAGTTTGACTGATTTTGTATCATTATTATTAACCGAGGCCCAGTCATATCTTCAAAATGTAATGAAATTACTGAAAAGATTACAACATTGTAGAAGACGTCAAATATTGCTTGTTTTATGTATTTTGCGACGTCGGAAAAAGACGACATTGGTATAGTTGATTAGTACATATTTCACCTAATGTCCATGAATTGTATGTAAAGATTTTGCTTCTATGTCAGAATTTAACACTCTTTCGACAGAACTAACAATGACTGATTAAACCATTTAAATAATGTCCTGCATAGATCCGGTTTGATCGTACATGTATATCTTAATATGAACAAGTTTTAGTGACAAAGACCATTTCTTACTTGGTAATAAAATGTATGAGGAATTCAGTGATGCATTTGTCGCAGCTGAATATGAAATATACGTGTAATAGGCGTCTCAATACCGGCCTTCGCGAAACGTGATTTTGTAAACACCGTCCATACAATGCAATATGGCAGAGAGTGCACTTATGCGTTCGTGTTAGTGTATTTTCGAAAACATCCCAACCGTAGAGGCACTATTAAAGGGATAAAAGCGTCAGTTGACTTGTTTGGAACATTTCAGCAGGTGCCTATAGCTGCTACTACATACTATTATCCTCAAGAGTGACCGGACATGATTACATCTTTCTAAAATTGCCATGGTAACTGTCTTAGTCTTAGTCTTAGCTAAGATTTTGCTGAGAGAGTTTCATGATCCAGTCTTATCTAAAATCTTAGCTAAGCAACATTTTTTAGACTTAAGATTTTTTTTGTGCTTAGCAAAAAATTTTCATGATCACGGGGCCTGATCAGACTTGGTCCTAAACTGAAATGAATAGGAAACCATACTGTGAAACTGCCTACAACAGTAGCCTACGTACGTCTTGTTGGCCAACACTTGGGAGATACAATCACCCTGGTTCCATAAAAACTCACTTTGTCAAATGTGAAACACACAAGTTGTTTTGAAATATTAAATGGTTTATATCTTGCAAGTGCAGTTCACCAGAGTAACATAGGTCGGAAGCATTAAATTACTGAACAGACTACTTCCTTTCATCAAGTGGTCAGTCACTTTGATACTCAATGTAGCTGAGCTGAACTTGGAACAGATCCTCGGGGAAAGTCTGTAAACACTACCCTACTAGACTTACAATGCAGTCTGTGTTTCTGGCTTATGTGGTCTGTTTACAGAAAGTAGAAGTACAGAACTACCATACAGACACCGTTCCACTAAACGATCACAAAGGAGATCTTAACACTTTCATATTGTGCGATCGTTGTCCAATGTTTAAGTATGTCTTTTACGATCGCCCTAGTACTAAGATAACTTTGCGAAACGGGGCTCGAGTGAAACTGTTCACGAAATGTATACCAGTGATAATTTATTCATCGCCGTTCGATCTCAGAAAACAATTGTAACTTGTCTATGTGTTTAATATGTGCCCAAACTTATCAGTTTTCCGGGGCCCGTACTGTATCAAGTAGAGCAATGTGATTGTACGTGCATATTTTACAAAAATATGCAATATATACGGAATATGATTAGATCAAGGAATAAAAACAATATAATTTAAACGTTTAATAAAGCCAACAAAGATTACATCTCTTGCATCATCTAATAAAAAGAAAAAGTAGCTAAAGTGATTATACATAAAACATTTGCAAGCACCTGACAAATCACAAGTGCTCCTCTTAATGTAGAGCACATTTTCCCCAGGACATGCAGTGAACGAGTTTTTCATTGTATCGAATAGTTGGTCCTTCTCTCGTCATAATCGCAACCAATATAATATTGAACAGACGAACATTTTGCAAGTTCGAAAACAGTAAAGCACTATTTAGTACTGCAAAAGAGTTTCTAAAACAATTTGAAGATTATGATGAAACATTAGTCCATGTACTGTTATATTTGTTGAAAGCATGTCAGCAAATGATTTGTCATGAGTTCTTTATCTTGTATTTCCTGCATGGTGTCCACTTTCTGTCACATGCCTTACAGCTGGCGCCTTTTGTCTATTTTAGATCTCTGTTTGTCTATATGAGAATCAGTTGTGCTGAAATTTCGCACCATCTTACAAAGACTTATGTCCTACAGTATGAGAGCTTAACAGGGTGCTAATATTTAGCAGCAGACAGGACGTTGTAAGCCATGGATACTGTGGCAAGGAATCCAACAAAGAAAGCAAGGCCTCGTGATGGTTGTGGCAGGGCGAAGAGATAGGCTATGGTGTGGAAGATCCGGGCACCTGTGAAAATGCGGAAGTGGAGGAGGGCGGAGCCGAGGCTTGGACCAGACGCTGTATACAGAAGACCAATCAGAACGAAGGGGATGACATTCTCAAGGTCATTCAGGTGGCATCTGAAATAGATCAAGTGCTGTGTGTTTCTGTACATGGAAAGAGGTGTAATTTGAACTCTTTCATTACATTCAAAGGCAAAAGTTATTCTGTGACACACAAACAGAGCTATCAGAGCTAAACATTTTCTTCCGCAAATGTTATTACAAGGTAAGACAAATGTTTCAAGGTATGGAAACGGTCAACAGACCGTAAAAACAGTGCAGGTGACATATGCAAATGAGCCAGACAGGGTTCCACACAGACTGTAGCGAGCGTGTCTAAAGGCATTGGTGCAGGTCTGGTACCTTTGCCTCACTGGGACCACTAACATGTCGAAGAAAGTCCTACGTAAGATCATTCAACATCCGATTAACACTTCGCAGAGCTCCTGCAACGTTGTAAGCGCCGCTTCATGTCATAGCAGATGTGTTCAGTGGGTGAGAGATCGGGGATCGTGCGGGCCGAGGTTACACATGAACATTGTTCTGAGTAAGAGAGTTGCTGTAGAACTCAAGCAACGTGTGGTCTGGCATTATCACGTTGTGACATCACCTCAGGGCCGTTCTATTTCAGCAAAAGATCGTCTCAATACCTCAAGTTTCCCTCAATCACAATCATTGGCGTTCTTGCTACAGCTGTCATAGCACCCCACATCGTAACGCCCCAACATCCCAAACAATCCCCTTTTCGAGACACGTGGCCAAGTTTGACCTTCATCTGTGCGCATGTCCGACTGTCAGTTCGGTGGAGAAGGAAACGTGACTCGTGGAAGAGGAGTGTTATCTGCTACGCCGGAGGCGTCGACGTCTGTGTTCCGCCATCAGATTTTACCGTCGGGCTTGGCGTCTTGTACAGATGTCCTAGACGTCATCGAACTGTTCTCATAGAAACACCAATGTAAGTGTTTTGGGCTGTTACCTGTGTCGGACGTGCGTGGTTCGAACCCGTCTTCTTTAAGTGGCGTCGTTAATGGTGGGCGGCAATTACGGGGACGATCTATTACTAATAATGCTTTGACTTTAATGAATTTAAGATCTTAATGGCCTTGCACATCACAATTTCACATCCTACAAAAGATTAATCCACTCACCTGCGGACCCTCTCAACCGATTCGTTTATTGCTACTTTCCCTTGACCAGGGGAAGTTGCGGCGTCCTCGGGATTTGCAAAAACCTGTATCATGAAAAAACAATCACACATTATTTATGATCCAGAGACACACGGAAAGGGGACAGCTCACTTTCATGTCAACTACACGGAGCACCCTGGAAATATGATCCAGAGACACACGGAAAGGGGACAGCTCACTTTCATGTCAACTACACGGAGCACCCTGGAAAATGATCCAGAGACACACGGAAAGGGGACAGCTCACTTTCATGTCAACTACACGGAGCACCCTGGAAAAATGATCCAGAGACACACGGAAAGGGGACAGCTCACTTTCATGTCAACTGGAGCACCCTGGAAAAATGATCCAGAGACACACGGAAAGGGGACAGCTCACTTTCATGTCAACTACACGGAGCACCCTGGAGAAATGATCCAGAGACACACGGAAAGGGGACAGCTCACTTTCATGTCAACTACACGGAGCACCCTGGAAAAATGATCCAGAGACACACGGAAAGGGGACAGCTCACTTTCATGTCAACTACACGGAGCACCCTGGAGAAATGATCCAGAGACACACGGAAAGGGGACAGCTAACTTTCATGTCAACTACACGAGGCACCCTGGAGAAATGTTGCATGTTTTAAGAAGGAGTAGAGATAGGTAGGATCGGTGAAGATGTCATATGAGAAGCCTGGATCAACAGAATATGAAACACTCCTGAGACCAATGTCCCTTCTAATGCAAGACCAGTGAGTTAGAAGTAGAGTCATATTGTGACCATTGTACCAAAGCAAATAAAATGCAAAGTACATGAAACATTCTTTTTCATAGAAAGTAATATCCTAGGTTAAAAACCACATGACTGAGCAAAGATATTTTGTCCGAATATTGTATTTTGTTAACAGAAATATCGCATGATTTGATCTAATTAGGATGTTTCAATTTAATTCAATACACAGTAGTGGTGGTCCGATTAATTGAAATAATCGAAGATTGGTCGCAGTGACTAAACGACCAAGCAATCGATCATGTTTTCTCATAACCAAAACAAACAATTCTGGAACACTTGTTTGCATTAACAATATTTTTCACAAGGTTGGTTTTGTCTGTTACATTTGATGACCACTACAAGATCGTTCCAAGTCATGGTTGAATTTATCTTCAAGACTCCACGAAATTAATGTTCCTAGCCTACTAGTCATCCTTTAAAGATGTGAAATTTGCGAATGCCTTTTGTGCAATTTGCAAAAACACCAAAGAACTACAGGTTTTTGTCTTTATTTTTTTTGTCCATTAATAAAATAATCAGGAAAATTTCATAAATGACGCATACCAATTATTTTCGATGATTGATCGGTTGTAATGAACCAATCATCAATTATGAGATTTTGACCAATTCCCAGCACAAATACACAGTCTATATACAATATTTACAAGACAAAACACTCTTGTACAATTCACTCGCCACAAAAAGACGTCAAATGATAGTTATGGGTGTTGTCACTCTCCTACCCAGAGCTCCATGCGGCCAGCCAGCATAGTACCTCTCACTCTCCTACCCAGAGTTCCATGCGGCCAGCCAGCATAGTACCTCTCACTCTCCTACCCAGAGTTCCATGCGGCCAGCCAGCATAGTACCTCTCACTCTCCTACCCAGAGTTCCATGCGGCAAGCAAGCATAGTACCTCTGCCACAGGCCACCGACCATTCATTATAATGTACATATTTCTTAAGTCTTTTATTTTTGACGAGTCTACACATCTAATTAAACATCTTTGATAGAATAGTTTAGTTTCACTGAGAAAATATCCTAAAACATGTAATACTACTTCGATTGGCGTAGCGATCCTTTGTTTACATAGGTTGTACGGCTCCATGTGCGGTCATCGAAGCCGACGGAGAGCAAACCATGTAGCCAATTTGATATCTAAATATGTACTGTCATAGACCTTACTGTCGCAGTTGTGGAAGAATATATATGTCACAATGTAAAACATTGTGAAGAGCGCGCCGAAAAGCTTGCGTAAGCGCAGTCTCTTCTTATTATGAATATGCGCGTTTGTGTACAAACAAGAGAAAAGTCCGGTCACGTGATATGCAAATTAGCCTGTGGCAGTGATGGTATGCTAAGTCATCACTGAGCCGGAGTGTGGGGTGTTGTTTGTGACCACTTCCGGTGCTCGATATATAACAAGGAAAGATAATCTCGGAGTCTGAGCGGGATAACCATGTTGAACTGTGACGATATCTGACAAATATCTTAACGGCCCCTTTGATGTCATATGTGAGTATGTTTTCCGCGCTGAAATAACGTTTGGTCATTTTCGTCAATCCACGTTCGTTTGGACCAGTGAAATTATAACAGAGAGTATCAGTTCTTTTGTAACTAATTACAGTTTATGTTACAATCTATAACACTTTAGTAATATCACACCATGCTCTGAAGTACGTTCTGAAGTAAGTTCGCAGATCGATGCTCATACTGTTGATCATTGGATTGTTTGGTCCAGACTCGATTATTTACAGACCACCGCCATATAGCTGGAATATTGCTGAGTGCGGCGTAAAACCAAACTCACTCACTCACTCTGAAGTACATAACCTCGGAGTCATGTTTGACAGTCAGGTCAATTTTGAGTCACATGTTAACCTCATCTCCAAGCGAGCCTGCCATCACATCCGCAGCCTTGGACTTATCAGGCGATGTATCAACTCACAACTGCATCACTGACACAGGCACTGGTAACATCAAGCCCCCACTATAGTCATTCTCTTCTCTTTGGAATCACAAATCAACAACTGAAGAAACTACAAAAGGTCCAGAACACTGCAGCCAAGGTTGTTAGGAAAGCCAGGAAGTATGACCACTTGCCACCGGTCCTGCAACATCTCCATTGGTTACCAGTGAAGTACCGTATTCGTAAAAGTCGACTAACGGGATCGGGTGGTCATACTCGCTTACTTTGTTGACACATGTCATCAAATCGCAACTGCGTAGATCGATGCTCATGCTGTTGATCACTGGATTGACTTATCCAGACTCGATTATTTACAGGTCGCCGCCATATAGGTGGAGTAGTGCTGACAGCAGCATTAAACAACAAATAAAACAAAACAAAACAAAACATATCTGCATTTTGCCAGTTTTACGGTATAACGAAGATGACTTTGCACAAATAGTCAACAAGTACAGGGCGTCCTGACCTTCATCACGACCTCGCACACACACTGACATTTGTTGTAAATAAGTCTGGGTGTCTTTTGTTCTCAGTTCATCGTCCTAATTGCAATTGTTGACTACTTGACCAAAGTACTCACATGCTGCATCATAGCTCTAAGTGTGACAACCTCGACGAAATTACTGTTACGGGCTCCATGATAAAATAGGCACTTACCCCTGTAGATCTTCTGTGAAATGAAGTGACGAAGCTCAGTGCCATGGTTTTTATAACAACCACAGTGGCATAGAACGCGAAGTAGGAGAAGACGGGGTTGTCGAACACACCAGCCATTGTGGGAGATCTATCAGCACAAGAACTTTGACAGACTTTGTAACGAGCGCTGTGGGTCAGTCACATGACTGCATTTTTTTATCGCATGTGCAGACGAAAGATATGATCGGTTTAATCATAGTTGTGAATGCCTTGCTCTCCATAAAGGGCAAGACAGTAGACATTTAAGTGACTTGCAAAACAAAGGTGCTGTTAACCCATGTCCTATTATTAAATATATGTGCCGCAACCATATTCAAATAGTCATCCAACACTTAAAACTATGTTCATGACCTCTGATTTAAAAACATTTGAGTGCCAGAAATTACAATAAATTACGCTAATAACGAATTGAATTGTAAGTAATTTTGTCTTAAAAGCATAGTGTCATATCGTGGTTATACACGTTTCGACTAAAATAAAGATCAAGTGCCAGGGAGAAAAAATACGTTATATCTGTCACTTCGTTATATATACACCCGTGCATTAATTAAGCACCACTCTTTTTTTGAAAATAAGATGTGATGCTACGGAAACGTTAGGGTATAGCCATCAATTTAATCAACGTATAGTTAAAGAAGCTTTATCCATTGACAGTTTTACAAATACCATAACCTTTTCTATTCTTTATGAAAGAATATGTTGATGGAAATGTGACGGGACTAAATGTTTACCCAAAATAACTATTCCTCTCCTGCTCAAACAACACAATTAAATTGAGTTTTCACTAAAAATAACAATTCTGTTATATACCAAGATGACATTTACACATCAAGTGTAAATGGCAAAGATTCAGACCTTTTTCCAACAATTCAGATTGCTAATTGACAAATACTGAAAAAGGCCACATTAATAAGATTTTGGAATAAATCTTTTATGATTTTGAGTTTATTGTATTGAATAAACACTTCTCCTTGCCGGATACTGATAATTACAGCTAAAATCTGTTTGTTTTGTTTGTAAAGCAACTTTTACTGCATTTTAAAATTTTACTTTTTTTTAGTTTGACTGTAACTTTTCCTAAATCTTAGTTTAGAAACTTTCACCCGTTCACAATAAATAACGAATTTATACGCCACATAAGAATCAATTATTACTTTCACTTTTCAAAATAAGGTAACTTGTTTTAGGACAGAAAAACACCTGTTTTAAAAATAGACAATAATCCTAATTAAAGTACATGGTAATTTCAATGATGTTTTCGTTTTTGAAATGTTAAACGCTTGCTCTATCAAATTATAAAGGTTATGTTTTTTTAAAGAGTTTATAATTTAATTTCAGACAAAATTAATTGGTAAAAATAGAGGGTGCTGCCTATTTTATGCACGGATGTATAGTTTAAAAACGTCTGAAAATCAAGTTATAGGGATAGTCAACTTCTGTATTGCAATGAATGCAGTAGTTTACTTTATTGCGCTTGTTGCTCTAAATATAATAAGCAGCAAAAGAAACGTCAGTTTGGAATTCTCCTTCGCAGAAACGGATAACTGTAAACTCAATTCATGTTTTGATTGTATATTATTGACAACATCTCCAAGTTTACCCGAGCAAAGACATTCCTTCCCAAACCCAGAATGGAACCCAGGAAATGGTCTCAAAACGCAACCTGATCTCGGAGATGGTACGGTGTTCTCCATGTTTTTCATGCAACTCATGCTGCACGTGCGGTTCGCAAGGACCAGCCCTATAAAATGCACCCCCAAACCTGGTTGAAACATTCACATTACACCGTCGGCAGGATGCCGCGACTCACGACAGCTCAGAGGAACCTGGCCATGTTGTGCGACAGCATGAACAGAATCCCTTCATGCAGGCATCCGAAACAGCACGCCAGACAGTGGGAACACACGGAAGACCAATCAGTACTGATACAGTACGCCGACGTCTTAACAACGGGAACCTCCATTGCTGTAGACCTTACCGTGGACCTATCCTCACCCCTCGTCATCGGCGTGAACGTCAACAGTTTGCCCAACAACACCAAAACTGGCGATACAGGCAGTGGAGAACTGTTCTGTTCACAGATGAGAGTCGGTACTGCGTATCAACTGCAGATGGCAGAACAAGAATATGACGACGACGTGGCCAGCGTTACTCAGACCAATGTGTTATGGAAAGAGACTCACGGGGAGGTGCAAGCATCATGGTATGGGGTGTTATAGGCCTGAACCAGAGAGTGGGTCCTGTGGTGTTCCAGAAACCTTGGTCCAGAGAAAGGAGGCGGCATCACAGCGGTGCGCTACATCGACCAAGCTCTCAGACCCCACGTCATACCACATTTCGCACGTCACCGGAACAACATTTTCCACCGACAACGCCCCATACTGCCAGAGCTACACGGGACTTCCTACAGCAGAATGGTGTCATCATTAGTCCTGATTTAAAAGCAATTGAACATCTTTGCGATGAAATTCAGAGGCGACTGAATAATGTCATACCAAGGCCGATTTATTGCGCCGGGCCTTTCTCAGAGTGGTGCACTCCATGCATAGACGCTGTGCTGCAGTTATTGCCGCTCGTGGTGGTCACACTAGATACTGAAGTCAAGAGTCTGAATGGACTGCAAATTTTCACGTAATGTCTTGAAATTGTGTTATTCATCGATGTGTCAAGATATTGTACACAAAAAAATGTTTTTGATCCGCTTATTATGTCCATTTCTGTAATGATCTGATTACAGTGCCTATCTAATTTTGAATTCGTACTGACCTTTGTTGTTTTTTTGCTGCTGATATTATGTGTTTATGTGTTTGTCTGTTGCTTACCGGCGCACACGCAAATATTCCTTCTTCACAGTTGTCTGTTTCTTAGGTTGTTATTTAACGCCCCACTCAACAGTATTCTAGCTATATGGCAGCTGTTGCAGGCAACGGTCTGTAAATAGTCGAGTCTGGACGAGACAATCTAGTGATCAGCAGCATGAGCATCGATCTATGCAGTTGGGATACGATGACATGTGTCAAGAAAGCCAACGAGCCTGACTCCCGATCCTCTTACCCCAAGCATGGGTAACTGAAGACAATTCTAACCGGGATCTTCACGAGTTTCCTCAAACAGTTATGAAGGGGAACAACTGTGGTCCGGTCATCTTAGCTACCACAAGCCACGGAGCAGAGTTCTGTCTCTATACCACGCCAGGAAAACCTATGACCGTGGGTCAAATCTCTATCCACCCTATGGAACCATCTTGGGACATATTCAACCAGGTCGCATCTTTATTGCAGCCAGCATCTGTTACCCATTGTTAGCACTGGTCACCAACATTATATCGCTAAAGTGGCTATGTGCTAGCATGTAATGGGGCGCGGTGGGCGAGCTGGCTAAGGCGCCAGGCGAGTGATCCAGCGAGGTTGAGGTGTCGGGATCGAGCCCACCTGTGACCGGGTGTAGAAACCTCGGAGTCAACTTTGTGTGCAGAGTCTTTCAGTGTTGTCACAATCCCTAGTGTACAGTACACAACCCTGTGCACTTAAAAGAACCCACGAATCCGTTGGTATATGACCAGATGGTGGACACATGAATACGTGCAAACACCTATTTGCGGGTACAGCAACGTGCAGTGAAGTTGGACATAGTACTGTGACTATGTGTCCCAGTCCGCCCAGCTGGGAATACCTCGTTAGGATGAGAAAGCCACAATAACTCGGTGCACCTAGTGGCTGCAAGAGTTGTATACTCCCCAGGGAGTTGAAATTGATAATACGATGTGCCGTTGAGATTGACATCCAATGATCGAGGGGAAAATACCAGCGCCTTGAGCATGCACTAGTTGCCTGGATATGTGCGCTATATAAATATCCTATAATAATAATAATAATAATGGCCAGACGAGATGATTCTGTACCCTGTTGAAAATCTCAGCTGAGAACGGGTCGCCAGGGAGACTGTCCAACTGACTTGGTTGACTGTATGTCTTCGAACAGGATCATTGAGCAGAATGTTGATCACTAGATTGTCTGGTTCAGACTTGATGTTATGCCACTATCGTGTATCCAAGTGTAGCATTGTACAACCTAGGCTTTGAATATCATTTTACCCCTATGCTGAGGGACAAAGCTTATAATGCCAAAGATTGGTTTGTCAGACCGAAACCAATTATTTACAGATTGTTGTGTTGTATATAAAACATTGCTGTGTTCGTTATAAGAAACCAACTGCTATGGTGACATGCCTGGGGTCCTGGAGTCCTTCTGACCAGGAATTGTCATGGACATTATCCTGAAAGGTTGAGAATTATTCGGCTGTTGATAATTTTATTTATTTTGCAGGCTTTATGTACCAAAACATATCTAGAACTGAATGTCGCTATTAATGTGTTTCAAATCAGCTCTAATGTAGATATAAAGATTCATGAAGGATGGATCCCAGTTTGGATGGACCCACAACATCCATGGTGGTCTCCTAAAGGGTGGATCCCAGTTTGGATGGACCCACAACATCCATGGTGGTCTCCTAAAGGGTGAATCCCAGTTTGTAGCAATCCACAACATCCCTGGTGGTCTCCTAAAGGGTGGATCCCAGTTTGTAGCAATCCACAACATCCATGGTGGTCTCCTAAAGGGTGGATCCCAGTTTGGATGGATCCACAACATCCATGGTGGTCTCCTAAAGGGTGGATCCCAGTTTGGAGCAATCCACAACATCCCTGGTGGTCTCCTAAAGGATGGATCCCAGTTTGTAGCAATCCACAACATCCCTGGTGGTCTCCTAAAGGATGGATCCCAGTTTGTAGCAATCCACAACATCCCTGGTGGTCTCCTAAAGGATGGATCCCAGTTTGTAGCAATCCACAACATCCCAGGTGGTCTCCTAAAGGGTGGATCCCAGTTTGTAGCAATCCACAACATCCCTGGTGGTCTCCTAAAGGGTGGATCCCAGTTTGTAGCAATCCACAACATCCCTGGTGGTCTCCTAAAGGATGGATCCCAGTTTGTAGCAATCCACAACATCCCTGGTGGTCTCCTAAAGGGTGGATCCCAGTTTGTAGCAATCCACAACATCCCTGGTGGTCTCCTAAAGGGTGGATCCCAGTTTGTAGCAATCCACAACATCCCAGGTGGTCTCCTAAAGGGTGGATCCCAGTTTGGATGGATCCACAACATCCCTGGTGGTCTCCTAAAGGGTGGATCCCAGTTTGTAGCAATCCGCAACATCCCTGGTGGTCTCCTAAAGGATGGATCCCAGTTTGTAGCAATCCACAACATCCCTGGTGGTCTCCTAAAGGGTGGATCCCAGTTTGTAGCAATCCACAACATCCCTGGTGGTCTCCTAAAGGGTGGATCCCAGTTTGTAGCAATCCACAACATCCCTGGTGGTCTCCTAAAGGGTGGATCCCAGTTTGGATGGATCCACAACATCCCTGGTGGACTCCTAAAGGGTGGATCCCAGTTTGTAGCAATCCACAACATCCCTGGTGGTCTCCTAAAGGGTGGATCCCAGTTTGGATGGATCCTCAACATCCATGGTGGTCTCCTAAAGGATGGATCCCAGTTTGGATGGATCCACAACATCCATGGTGGTCTCCTAAAGGATGGATCCCAGTTTGGATGGATTCACAACACGCGTGCTTGTCTCCTTATGAACAAATCAGGTCTGAGTAGATCCTGAACACCCATGCGTGTCTACTCATGGAGAATCCGGTCTGAATATATCCTCAACACCCGTACTTGTCTATTCGTGAAGAATGAGGATCTGCTTGTGCCTCATGGAGAATCGGGGTCTGACTACATCATCAACACCCATGCTTGTCCACTTAGAATTAGTGTCTCACTAGATACTCAACAACCATGCTTGTCTCCTTACCAGATCTGAGTAGACCCTAAACACCCATGTTTATCTACCTATGTGGTATCCGCGCCTGAATAGATCCTCAACACCCGTGTTGTCTACTGACGGTGAAAATACGTCTGGCTAGATCTCCAGCATTGAACCTTGGGCAGATCAACTATTGGTTGTTTCCCCCGTTCGGATTCCGGGTCAGCAAAACTCCAGCATACTTTGTTCGTTTGGCGTATGTATTTCGGGTCACCCCTTGCTTGTATCCCTGTCATGGATCCGGTGGGGAAGAGATCACAAGTAGAGGTCTTCCATGCAATTTCTTGTTTTGACCAGTACCATATGTTGTTTCGGACTTGCCTTTCACGTGTTCGTGGCGTGTGTCACAGCAAGTCTGAAGTTATGGACGGAAACGTAAACTGGACGTAAATTATTCTGACATTTTCTCAATACGTTGTTTTATGCTGATCGTATCACTTCCAATTACATAAACGGGGAGATCTATGAAGATCCGTGTTAAAATTGGTCTACAGCAACCGATGCCTGACCGAAAGAGGCAACCAAGGGTATTGGGGGGATTGGGGAGTCCGATTCGTTGACTTGGTTCATGCATATCATCGTATCTCAATTGTGTAGATCACTCATCATGTCAATCACTGGAATGTCTGGTCCAGATTCGATTATTTACAGACAACCGCCATATAGATGGAATATTGCTGAGTGCGGCCCTACACAATTAACAAACAAAATAAAAACAGAGAAGCATCTTCAAAATTATAATCTCTTTTTAAAAATTGATGTTAATTGTTTACGCTTTACCGTAAACGGGGTGACACAGCAAAAGGTTAAGGTCAAGGTTATGCTTCCACATGCTCTACATGTGTTTGGTTTGGGGTTTACAATCAAGTACAGTGGAATCTGCTTTTCTTCATAATCCGGACTACAATGAGTCCCGTCAAAATTGTTCTTAAGTTATTATTAACGCGTGCTTTATAATCCGGACTCTCTCAATTACGGATTACAGACTAAAATAACAATCCCGACAATCAACTTGCAATGAGAACAATGCTTTGTAATCTAGTCGCAGCTGACTAAACTTACAATCCGTTGAATAAACATCTGTTACTTCTGTTCACAAAGGTTAATGACCGAAAACATTGTATTACGTGGACATTTACAGAAACAAAAGCTATTCTTGTTAACAGACTTTTTCCAATGAAAGTATAAATAATATATTGAGTATAAGGTGAAAGTAATGACACAGCACAAAATACGACTGTGACTGCTAGCGCCACGTGGTTCTTGCACATGCACTGACTGGTGCTGTTGAAGATGACGGAGAGTGTGTCTGCACCATGCAACATCGGACATATCTGAGTCATGGGGTCTGGAGGGTCTTTCCTGCATTCCTATGTGTCATTTATCTCGTATGTCGCAACGATAAAACATGGTCTTACCTTGGTTGTCAATCTGTGATATACAGTGAAGACGGTCATTGCCATGGTTTTCAAAACAACCACTGTGGCATAAAAAACGAAGCAAGGGAAGACGGGATTGTCAAACACACCAGCCATTTTGAACGACTTGATCCACTCAGGGTGATCGCTTGGTGAGTGACGTAACCTTATGTGTTATCACACGGTGGTGTCAGACAACTGCGGCATGTTTCAACTGGAGCGTTTAACTATAGTCACATTTACCGTTTAGCTTGCGTAATCGCCTGTTGCCATTTGTCGTCAGTGACTGATTAAACTGGTTTTGGGACCAGCTGGGGACGTTCTCGTTGACAACCAGGGAAATCTCCTTGAATATTCATATTTGATCGGATTATACTAAACGAAATCATTCACCTATCAAACTTGTATATGTGTGTACAATTGTATGTACTGCTGTATATATTCATGTACTTCATTCTTTTTGCAACAATGAATTCCAATTAATGTACAGAACTGCAACAATCATTACTTTTTCAGACTAATTGCTCGCGATAAAACAATTACTACTCCCATTCTTGTTATGCATGTTTTATCGGAAAAACCCTACACTTGTGTGAACGTGTCATCACTTACTTGATGCTCAGTTAATGACTTTATTACAAATATTGGCCGCCTCCGTGGTGTAGTGGTTAGAGCGTCCCCCGGAGAGCGGAAGGTCGCGGGTTCGATCCCCGACCGCGTCATACCAAAAGACGTTAAAATATGGTACTTGTTGGTCCCTGCCTGGCGCTCGGAATTAATGGGTACAACAAGGACTGGTCGGCTCGGAGTCAGTATAATGGGTCTGAGTGGGGTATTCATGCTTAATTGCGGCATGGTATCTCAGTGGGCTAGCACTATAAAACCAGCTTAAGTCTGGGCTAGTACAAGCAGCTACACATACACACGCATGCACGTCGTCATATGAGTGAAATATTCTTAAGAACGACGTTAAACCTCACCTCACCTCACCTCACCTCACCTTATTACAAGTATTATTTAGCGGGGGCAACAAAAGTACTAGAATCTGTACTTTACTGAGAAAATGTAATCCCAAATATAACATATGTTACATTTGACCACTTTCTAAATGGCACTGTGTATTCATAGCGTTTATGGTTGTAGGTAAGCCATAGCAGACGACACATGCAGGCGGTCTCCACTGGACAAACACAACGTGTACGGGACATGTTAATACTATCTTGACTACAGAACACGCCATGGACGGGTTGTTTGGATCTATTCTTAGCATTGATATCTATACTGCAGCAATGTATGCAGCAAGAGGAAGACGCATACATAGTAAAGTTAAACAGTAAGTGATTGATGTTTAATTGTGCAAACATCGATCACTTACTGTTCAACTTTACTATGTAATTATTGATGTGATGAATTCAATGAGGAAAGTAAAACGAACACAAACAACAATGAAAGACTTTTAGCTATGACATTAAATGCTTATTTGTTTTATCCAGATTTGTGTCGTTTTGAACTTGGGTCTTGATTCAGTAGTCCGGACGATTCGCAATCCGGACGAATTTGCTGAGAAAGGCAACCGTGCGGATTAATGAGGCTTCACTGTATATATATACCTTGCCTCTAGTATTGTACATCATTTGCTTGATAACGGTGTAAGTAGCTACACCGAAACGTCGCTCATATTATATTAAAGAAGTTGTACATCCATAGAACTCTCCTCTTTGTTCATCACACCAACTTCTAAATGCCACTCAAACAAGTTATTTACAGCCAAGATGGAATGCTTGTACTTCTTCCTCACGCTTCCTCTGTCATTACGTTAGCTATGGAACCAGAGAGGTGTATATCAATGTTAGAAGATAAATGCCCTGTGTAAATTACCTATGTCTTATGTAAATGCAGATTGTCTTTACACAATTTCAATGTATATTTTAGTAGAAGATTTAACATAAAAATGATAAAACCAATAGCTGTCCAGAGTGTTGATTAGGAGTGGATAAAAATGAATATCATGTTTTATGTTAGTATGTGATGCCTAGATATCTTAGAGAGAAGCATCTTCAAAAGATCGGTAATATTCATAATTGTAATCATCATAACAAGACCATCACCAATACCACACTCTAACATGAACCGTTTTCTCATTACCATTTGATTTCTGTAAACAAATTCACTTAGTAAGCTGCAAATTTCCTTTGGTCGGACTTAATACGGATATAACGGTATATGAACCGCCTCCGTGGTGTAGTGGTTAGAGCGTCCGCCCGGAGAGCGGAAGGTCGCGGGTTCGATCCCCGACCGCGTCACACCAAAAGACATTAAAATATGGTACTTGTTGATCCCTGCTTGGTGCTCGGCATTAATGGGTACAACAAGGACTGGTCGGTTTGGAGTCAGTATAATGTGTCTAAGTGGTGTATTCATGCCTCACTGTGGCATGGTATCTCAGTGAGCTAGCACTATAAAACCAGCTTAAGTGTGGGCTAGTACAAGCAGCCGCACATACACATACACACGCATGCACGTCGTCATATGAGTGAAATATTCTCAAGCACGACGATAAACCCAATTTCACCTCACCTCACAAAATAAGTGTACATATGTAACATTATAACATTAAACAATATAAACAGTATTGTTCAAACATTTAATAAAGACAACAAAAGCAATGCAATAAAACGAAATCATTTAACATAACAAAAATTCTTATCAGCCTTTGAAAACAGAAGCCAAACTGTCACAATATTCTCCACAACAGACAGTGAACAATTGTACTGAATATTTGGTCCCTCACGCAACTTGTGTTACGCCCACTCGTCAGAAAACGGACAAATATTTTGCAGGTTTGAATATAGGGAACACCATTTAATGAACATTGAAATTTGAAAGCCTTTAAATCCTCCAAAGCTAAAGACGATCTTGGTGAATCATTTGCCTATGATGATCCGACCAACAGCAGGACTAAGGATGAGTCAATGACGCAATGTTGTTTTCCATGGGCATAAACAGTTGGAATATAGCTTCATCCCCTCTTTGACATAATTTGGAAGCCCTAAACACTCCCTAAATAATGAGGACAACGAGGTAACCGTGCGTGTTCATCATCTATAAGCCGTTAATTCAATGTATTATTTTGCAACATCTTACAAACATTTACATTATAGAGTATGAGAACTTAATGGTGTGCTAAAAGGTAGCAGAAGACAAGACGTTGTAAGCCATGGATACTGTGGCAAGGAATCCAACAAAGAAACCAAGGCCTCGTGATGGCTGTGGCAGGGCGAAGAGATAGGCTATGGTGTGGAAGATCCGGGCACCTGTGAAAATGCGGAAGTGGAGGAGGGCGTAGCCGAGGCTTGGACCAGACGCTGTATACAGAAGACCAATCAGAACGAAGGGGATGACATTCTCAAGGTCATTCAGATGGCACCTGAAACACATGAAGTTTGGTGGAGATGAACACTCTCCTGTACATGAGAAAAGTTGTAAATGAGACTCTTGTATTATATCTTTAAAGTTTATTGGAACGATAATGGAATATTGCTGTCATGAGATTAGAATTGATTGATTGTCACTGATGGTTAAAAGCAGCCCAATGTAGGCTATTTATGTCCCTGTTTTATATCGACTAAATATCTTTGGGAAAACGCACAAAGCAGAATATAGAATAATTGTTGCTGGGCTCCATTGCATACTTAATAAATTAAATTTAAAAGTCTTTCTTAAACAATCTGTTCCTAACGGCATCCACCCCAACATCCTCCCTCTCTGGACCCTCACACGACTCACATATGCTGTATCATGAGTAACCTGTGTCATTAAAGAGTTGAGTGGCATTTTATAATGTCAATGGCCTTCAAAGAGTTATTTCACTCACCTGCGGACCCTCTCAACTGATTCATGTGTCGATATTTTCCCCTTGTCTTTGTCCACGATGTCCTCAGGATTAATAGCTACCTGTAATACAAAAAAACCATCACTCACATCATTTCGATTGATGAAATAAACATGGCTAATTAGAAACTAACGTGATAATTACCTCATATTAACGCCTTTCATAGGGTCCTTGCAGCCCAACTGACTAAGGGTTTTGTGACACTTTTACCCAGATCCCTACCCACTGTCGTCTCGAACTGACGATCCATTTCATGTCCTATATCTGTATTTCAAAGGTGAAAGGCCAGTTGGCCGTTTAGACCAGTCAAATGATAACACACTGTATGAGTGATTTTACTCAGATTGAGATCGAACACCCTAATTAGTAACTAAATACAGGTAGCCTTAGTATCTGTCACACCTTAGTTAAGCAACGTTGGTCGCGGACAGTCCTCGGATGGGTGACCGTGTTTGGCAGCTTGACTCCTGAGAGTTTCTAGGACTTCAGTCCTGCCCCACAACGAAGCACATGTGACGCGCATGTGGTCTCACCTTAGGTAAGTGAGTTTGTTCAAAATTGCCTCTGTCCACCCAGCAGTAAAATTGGGTACCTGGTATGATACGATGGTACAGTCCGTTTGAGTTAGAAACGGACCGATGAATTGCAAATTTTATCATTGTACAAAATTGCAACATAAATATAAATAGTACACATGTTTATCATTTACTCATACCCAACAGCTTTCTTATATTTGCAATTTTTCCGGACTCCACCCAAAAAGTTTTTTAAGAAACTATCATCATTGAAAACGTAAAAGTTGTTATCTGTCGAGGCGGGGTGAAACCGCAGAAACGGAACAGCCACTATCTCGTCGTGCACGGGATACACATGCCTGATGAAAAATGAAGTTGAATGCTGACGTGAAACAGTTGATGATTAAAGTGTACGATTTTTTCCGGGCTGAAGCCGAAAGGGGCAAACCATTTTATGCCATTAATAAATTCCGTAAGCGGGCAGCAAAAGCTTTAGGAGTATCAGCAAGGGTACTGACAAATGTTCTGGAACACAAACATTGTGAGGGTGATGCGAAGCAGGTAGGGGTCGTGTCAAAATCACACAAATTAAAACATTTGGACAACTTTCAAAAGAACCTTGTAAGGCCGTCTATCAACAAGCTCTATTCTCAAAACAAATATATGTCGCTGAATTTTTTTAAAAGTACACACTCTGGCTACTCTTACACTCTTTCGGGTATCGTTATAAGAACATTTCGTGGGAGAATAGGTCAGTACTCTGTGGACGCCCTGATATCGTTCGCTTGAGAAATAATTTTCTCAGGGTTATAAAGAAGAAGCGCGAGGAAGGGTACGATCCAGTGTGCTTGGACGAGACCTGGGTCAATGCCTCGCATACTGTCAGCAGTCAGTGGGTACCCGATGGGGGTTATAAGGGGTCACGTAGAAAGCTGCCTCTAGGGAAAGGAGAGAGACTAATCATTCTCCATGCTGGTTGCTCCAGCAAAGGCTTTCTCCCAGGCTGCGACTTGATATTCAGGGCAAAGTCCACAGATAACAGAGCCTACCATTCCGAGATGAATGGTGCGGTTTTCCTCGATTGGTACCAGCTCTACCAGAGAAGTCTTTTATCGTAATGGACAATGCCCCATACCACAGTGTGCAGGGCCCCGACAGTAAAGCCCCGACATCGAACAGTCGTAAAGGTGATATGATATCATGGCTCTACAAATTTCAGACCGCACGGCCTTCAAAGGCAACGAAGCCTCAGCTATATGAGATCATAACAACCTACAAAGGTGAACCTTTCTACAAAGTTGACAGTTACATAAAAAGTAAGGGTCACGATATTCTGTGACTTCCACCCTATCACTGTGACCTTAACCCCATTGAAATGATATGGGGTATTGTCAAAGGAGATGTTGCCAGATCAAACACAACTTTTAGATTACGTGACGTAGAGGTTTTGGTTAAGGAATCCCTTAACAAAATCACGCCTGAAACTTGGCAAAACTGTGTCAACAAGGTAGCTAACGTCATTGAACAAGGTTACTGGTCTCGGGATGGCTTACAACAGGCAACTGTGGCACCACTTTCATCCCTTTAAGTCGTGACTATGACACTACGACGGACGAGGAACCGACAGGTCTCCCGGAATAGATTTTGAGATGTCCCCCGCTATGACTGGCTGTTCCGTTTCTGCGGTTTCACCCCGCCGCGACAGATAACAACTTTTGCGTATTCAATGATGATAGTTTCTTAAACAACTTTTTTGGTGGATTAAGGAAAATTTTCAAATATAAGAAAGCTGTTGGGTATTAGTAAATGATAAACATGTGTACTATTTATATTTATGTTGCAATTTTGTACAATGATAAAATTTGCAATTCATCGGTCCGTTTCTAACTCAATTTGAACCTTGAGCGCCTGACAGGCGACCGGTTGTATTCTCCACATGGAGTGTTCTGTACTCGTTGACCAGGGGTAATATGTCAGCACTTTGAGCATTCAATGTGCATGGATAAACGCGCAGTATAAATGGACTATTATTATTATTATTATATTGTTATTCAAAACAGGAACACATACTCAAATAGCTTGCACATATCAACAGTAGTTCACATGCCGTAGTAATGGATACCAAAATATCTGTGAGACAGTTCATCATCCCAACGTCTTAATTAAGCCAAATCTTGGATGGTTGACCTCTCGGCCAAATATCGCACATTCAGTGTCATTGCTCTTACTGTGATGACCTCAGAACAGCCGCTGTGGCAGAGAACGTGAGTGAGTGAGTGAGTGAGTTTTGATTTTACGCCGCTTTTAGCAATATTCCAGCAATATCACGGCGGGGGACACAAGAATTTGGTTCACATATTGTACCTATGTGGGGAATCGAACCCGGGTCTTCGGCGTGACGAGCGAACGCTTTAACCATTAGGCTACCCCACCGCCCCCCGTAAAGTAAGGGAAGACAGGATAATCACCAGCCATTCTGGTGTCACACCTTTCCACGAACACCTGGTAACCATGACAACAAGTCTTGAGATATGGACGGAAACGTAAATTTGACTCAGCTTTAACCGAAATTTATTCTTGCTTTTCTCAGTTGCTTGTATGCTTCCAATTACACAAACTGAGAGATCCGTGAAGATCCGTGTTAAAATTGGTCTACAGCAGCCAATGCCTGTCAGAAAGATGGATTTGGGAGTCCGATTCGTTGGCTTGATTCAGGCATATCATCGTATCCCGGTTGTTTAGATCACTCATCATAATGTCAATCACCGGGCTGTCTGGTCCAGATTCCATTATTTACAGACAACCGCCATATAGATGGAATACTGTTGAGTGCGGCCTTACACAATAAACAAACAAAATATAAACAGAGAAGCATTTTCAAAATTATAATCTCTTTTTTAAAATTGATCTTAATTGTTTACACTTTACGGTAAAAGGGGTGACAGAGCACAAAATATGACTGTGACTGACAGCTCAAGGTTATGCTTCCACATGCACTACATGTGTTTGGTTTGGGGTTTTTTTCATTTCCCGGTAACCGGTTTCATGCTGTCTGTGTCAGATTCAGGCAGAGAATAAACCTGTTTTGATAATTTTGTTTTATCTCTTGGCCATTGAGGTACATTTCAAATTGTGTTTATTCAGTTAAAGTGGAAGTATGATATAAGGGGAGATAGGAGGGTTGGGTGCGGTGCGTGGGTTAACAATACTTGAGAATATTTAACGTACATAGCTACATTCAATCACTTGAATGCGCATGCTTGCCCGAACCTGCAACGCTAGACCACTGAGAAACCGCCCTGCAGTTTGATATGAATACCCCACTCAGATACATACTCCAACTTGACTGGTCCCGTTAAAACCGAGCGCCACCAAGGATATCAAAAGATCCATTATTATTCAAAAAAGTATTTATTTATTTTAGTTGCTGAAGAGTTTATGTCTGTTTAATGTGGATACTCCACTCAGGCACAAAAACTCATGTCCATCTTTCTTCAAATTAATACTATATTTAGTTTAGTTGGGCGTTAATGTCAACCAACCATGACTGTCACAATCAAGTGATTTCATATCTACCGGTGTTTGTGTTTCCTTTACACATTAACATGATCAAAGGCAACAATAACTTAATAATTAATGTTGTTTTAGCCACAATATAAGAAGATAATATCACGATGGCTGAGAACGACATACATATTAGCTCCATTACTTGAAAATAGGACTCCAGGAATAATTAAGGGCGACAGGAAAGTCTGTTGGCTAGGGACCGTTAATAATTTATGGGGTGTGGGTGTGGGTGTGTTATGAATTTTATGGAGAAGCATGTACAATGTGAATGACCCCCCTAAGATTATGTACAAAGTAAGTGACCCCTTCCCCCTACATCCCCAGAACAAAATGGGTGGACCCCCCTCTTAAAATCATCATCACACCACACACACACACACGCACGCACGCACACCACTAGCCATAAATTATGAACGGTCCCTTACAGTGTTATCTCGTCACACTGATTCCCCGCCCGGGTGCACTGTGTGAAGCCTATTTCTGATATCCCCCGCGGTGATATTGCTTGAATATTGCTACAAGCGTCGTACAATCATCTTCACTCATTGCAGAATAATTTTAAAATCCCTTCAAGAGTTATATATATACAATCCACTTCAAGAACAACGTAAATGTACAAGAATTATACTAACAATCGCTTCAAGAATAATGTAAAAAGTCACTTCAAAAGTAAGGTAAACAAACCACTTGGAGAATGACAACAAAATACACCTCAAGAAAAATGTATATGTTATTTTTTTACTTCCCACTTCAGATGATAGTAATGACACAGCTCAAAATGTGACTGCTAGCGACAGGCGAAGCTTGCACATGCACTGACGGGTGTTGTTGAAGATGGCGGAGAGTTGTCTGCACCATGCCGCATCGGACATATCTGAATAACGGAGTACCCGATCAAAGTCCGAGGGTCCGGAGGGTGTTTCCTGCCTTCATGCGAGTCATTTGACACGTTTGTCTCACAGACATAACACGTTCTTACCTTTTTTCGTAATTCTGTGAAATGCAGTGACGAAACTCATTGCCATGGTTTTCAAAACAACCACTGTGGCATAGAACGCGAAGTAAGGGAAGACGGGATTGTCAAACACACCAGCCATTTTGAGCGAGAATTTGACCCAATACGGAGTGATCGCTAGGTGAGTCACGTGGCCGTATGTGTTGATATACACAGTGGCCTTGAGAGAAGTGTAGCCAGTTTAAACCGGAGCGTTTAGTTACAGTCATATTTACCGTTTGACGATGACTGGCGGTGATATTATATAATCACAGGGAATCTTAACTCCAAATGTAGTTCTTCAGTCGGTGCCATTTTAATAGTGTCGTGCCGGGAAGGCTAAAATTTATTTTTCAGATGTCCCGGTAAGGCTAAAATGTATATTTCGGATTTCCCGGGAGAGCTAATTTCCAAGGGAGTAGGGGAGGTACTGCCAAATTAAAGATACGGTGCCGAAAAGCATAATCCAATATCGCGATTTATTTTTGAAACGTTAGAACTTTATACACGTGGCGATTGTATTTCAGATGTATTTAATTATAAAAAACCCCATTAGAATAATAGTCACTAGGCATAATCCATGAGTAGATAGATTTCTTTTCAAATCATTGTTATAATCTTCGCTTGTTTACGGTTCGGGTTTCCAAAAGGGGTACTCTACTTTAGAGAATATTTTCGTTTTTAATGGATTAATTGATGTACTTAACTCTAAGAAGAAAAAGTTATATAGTGTTTTTTTAGACTCTTAAAGCATTTGATAATGTCTGGCGTGTGAGACTTTAGCAAAAATTGTTAAACACGGGTAAGTTTTAAAGGTTATTTATAATAATTATGATAATACCAAGTGTTTCACCAGGTGGAAATGACTCTACCTATTTGACTGTTGTAAAGGCGTACGCCAGGGAGAAAATTTACCACCTCTCCTTTCTTTCACTGTTTATTAATGACGTTGAATCATATCTACCGACTAATATATTTGAATTTGTTAAGATTTTTGTACTGATGTATGCTGATGACATGGTCTCATTTGCTGAAAGTCCGGATGAGTTACAGCATAATATTAATATTGTGTAAAGTGGAAGTTACAATGGAATATAGACTAAAGTAGTCGTATTTGGCTCTGGAACTGCAAGAGTTAATTTTTTTTAAATTATCTTGGTGATGTACCTTTGAGCATGTCTGATACTTATACTTACCTTGGAATACATTTTCATACGAATTTCTTTTCAAAACATTGCTATAATGTTATTTTTAAGTTGCAGTTAAGTAGATTGACAGAAATGTGTTTTTCCATGGAAAATGATAATTTAATGTCGAATTAAAGACAATACATAATGAAGAATAGACATAAAAATGAGTAAATAACTGTATATCTATTTGTATGTGTGCCCAAATGAAAGAGGGTCCACGGTAAGCCTGTTTTCTTCGTAATTTGTCAGAGCCTCCGAGTGAGGAGCACCGTGTTCATTCAGCCATAACATTGCATTGCAAGAACCGCGAAGGCTACGCTCATTGATTGGGTGTCCTCCCATTTGTGAGAACTCCCAGTTGTGAGACACATTAATTAATGGTTCAGTGCACATAGGTGGTGTTTCCACATCCCTACAATGAAAGTGGGATCAGCCCAGTTGTTGAAGAGTACCAACAGGGGTCATTGATGAGTAAATTAATGAAATAGATTATCAAAGATTCTATTTACACAGAAGAAATAGACTATTATGAAGTTTGAAAGTCATTTTGGTTTAAACATATTTTATTATTATTTATGAAAATGAATTGGATTGGTGAGCAAGCATTACTGCTTATGTTAACACGGCTCTCATGCAACATAAAATACAAAATGAAATGGATGATGTGACATCATTGTATATGGACGCACGTCTCTGGCTTCCTGTAAATATAATTATCACTTCATTAGCTGTATTCACATCTCCTTATCCTCATTGTTTGTGTCAAGTGGCTTTACTTTATCCCTATTATCATTGTTTTTATACTGCTTTTCATCGGTCCTCTCATTCATTGTATATACTTCTCTGGCTTCCTGTAAATTCTGGTATATATAGTATGTTTTGTACCCCTGTCTTTATATCACCTGAAGAAGGGGGGAAAGAAGTAGCCCAGAAACGTCGTGTTATACAATATAGAAGAAGTTGTCATCCATATACTCGTCTTATATATTCATCAACGTCTAAATGCCTCTCAAGAATCTCGAACCGAGAAGCGTCGCGATTTTAGCCTTCCCGGACATGAACCATTTTAATTAACCCCCGTAATCACCAGATGCCATTTCGTGTTCCACGTCACATGTCATTAACAACCTAATATTGTCAAATATACAAACGCAAACAAAGTAACTGTGTATAACATAACATTACATAAAATAAAAAAGTTGTGTACAGACGGCAAGGTGAACGGTATGCTGACGCGTGCGTTGTTCAACACTGACAGTTTCTTTGCTTAAGCGTTATGGTATGGGGGGAGCATCACATCTCATGGTCGGACACAGCTTGCCATTGTCAATGGCAATCTGACAGGTCTGCGATACAGGGATGAGACTACCGGGCCTCATGTGCAGCCGTTCATTCAAGGACAGAGACGTAACTTCACGCTTCAGCAAGATAATTATATGGCCGTCCACATATCGCTCGTGGTGTTTCAGATTTCCTGAAAAATTCCGGTACTCCCTTCACCGGATGTTTTTTCCGGACTTGTCCCTTATCGAGCACTTTTGGGATGAAATGGAGCGACGGTTACGTCAAGCCCAGGATGAGACATTGACGTTAGCTGAATTGGGACAAGCTCTAACGTTGGTTCAGACAACAGTACCTAAGCAATCCCTTAGTGTCGTCTAGGCGTCGTCGTTGTCAAGCCTGCATCAACGCCAATGTGGACACACGAACTGACTTGTGAACCGACTTTTGACACCACATCTCTTCAAGGGCGTGTCACGATGCCTAAGGTACTCACGGAAATAGCAATAAGTGTTTTTTGGCTATTATTTCGTAGTTTTGAACACAACTAAAGTTTGATTGTTAAATATTCAATGACTATCGCTTTTCCCAACTTGTGTTTTTAACACTCTTTGTAAAATCATCCGAAATAGATGAGTTTACAAGGATTGCAAACATCGTGTCAATTTTACCCCTTAAAATTGCATCAAAGTCAAAATGTACTTTTCTCATGCAAGCTATAGTATGCAACTGAGATGTACTCTCCATAGGTTCGCGTACAGAGTACATTTGATGAAAAACGTCATATACCATTCATCCTTTATTTCTTTTATCCAAATTGATGTACAAAATAATTGATTTAGGGATTTTCTCAGTACATTTTTCATGCCTGTACTCTTGTTGAAAGTTTGCTATTTCACGAGTTCATTCATAGCTTTGATTGTCAATAATTATTGCACAATCGCTATGGCAACGCACATGCAAATGCATCTTCCCGTCTAAACAGCGCTGCAGGTAGTTGTTACCACCCATTTTTGATTGTGACGTAAGTTATAACATGTTTCTAAATTTGTTGATAATATGCAAATTTTTGTTACTTTTAATTCATAAATGGGTATTTTGGATGATGATTAGATGACCATATTTAAAGGCCTAGTAAGGAAAACATAGTTATTTAATATTTGTTAAAACTACCTATTTCATGAAGTAATAAACGAATAAACTCCCAAAGACCTTTTGTTTCTATTTCCGTGAGTATTTTAGAGCTAAATCATACAGATTTCGATATTATCCAGTCAACAGTTAAACAGTGATTAAGGAAAACGCCACAAATCATGTTATTATCTTTTTGCATTAAAAAGGCATACCCGGTAGTATCAAATAACGCACAGTTACTTTATTCCAGTAGTATATATAGAGGGTATTGCATGTGTCCAGTGAAATATGGTGTATGTGTCTTGGAGTGACGTGAAAAACGCGATATTTTCTCTCGGGTGAGTGAGTGAGTTTAGTTTTACGCCGCACTCAGCAATATTCCAGCTATTGTACATAATCGAGTCTGGACCAGACAATCCAGTGATCAACAGCATGAGCATCGATCTACGCAACTGGGATACTATGACATGTGTCAACCAAGTCAGCGAGCCTGACCACCCGATCCCGTTAGTCGCCTTTTACGACAAGCTTGGGTTACTGAAGATCAATATTCTAACCCGGATGAAAACATGATATTCTTCACGTCACTTGACGACAGCATACGGGTATATTCAGTCAGCGTGAATAAACGTGCATACATAGACATTAACAGCTGACAACTCCACTCTCTTGCTGCGCTCTAACGTGCATATTACATGTCATGTAATATAGACTCTTCAAAAATTGTTGGGGAACTAATTTGCGATTGAAAGAATTGGGAGATATATCTGAGTCAATCAATGTTGATATAATAGTAATGAATGTTTTGAGAGTGCATCACCACTTGCACTTCCTTATGACCATAGTTGTTTGTACAGTAATAGCTCTTGAAAGATGATTGGTGTATGACGTGAAATTTGCATGTGTACGATTTTCATTTTCAAACCAAAACAAACGGCTATAAACAAACACAAACAACTGTGTGATGCAAGATGATTATAAAATTAATGGTCTACAGTGATTTATCGACCTTCTTGAAAACCATCAAAATCAAGAATGACACCCCATGCACGTGTATGGGGCTACAGCGTTGTGCACGTGCATACCATGTGTTGTGTTTAGGGGTGGTGATAAAGAGAAATGGTGGTGCGTTTATAAGATGCCTGTCTTTGAAAAGTTTGTAAGTTACGCTTATACTGCCTATCCAAATTTAAAGTTCAGGTTCCCCTATTTTTTCAAGAGTATATTTGCCACACCACACCAGACCTGAATTTGTAAAGCTGAGTAAATACCTGGGACAATGCCAAAACGGATCTCTTTTCGGGTGAACTTAGTTTGTTTTACCATCAATTATGCCTGTTATAAATTCGTCAACAGAGCATCAAGTGAATGATGGCGAGTGTAGGTTTATGTCACCACCCTGACATCCCCAAACCACATCAAATCAAATCCTATAAACTTTATTTCACTTCCGGTTATGTGAAACGGTGAGGTTGTGTGCAGAGATATCAAATACTACCGGTGGTAAACAGTCACTGTTGCAGATATACACTACAACGGGTTTAGTG